TCTTAAAAATTAAAATTCAATTGTATATTCTTAAATAGTAAAAGAAATAATATAATTACAATTTTTTATTTAAAAACATAAGAGTTGATAATATTTATAATATTATCATTTATATTCTATTTTAAATTTAATATCCACTTGATATTTATTACAATTTATCATGATTTATGTTAGAATCTAGTAAGATATCATTATTTTTTATTAATTTTTACTATTTGCTTTTAATCATAGATTTAAAAAAAAAAAATATATATATTATTTCATTTATTTTTTTAAATATAATGTGGTGAACATATTGTTTGATTTCTTAATATTATTAAATTTATGAATTCAATATAGATTCATTTTTAGGATTAAATATTTTATACAATAATTTAAACTTAGGATTCTACATTATTGTCTACTCTATTCAATGAGTTCTAGAGTTAATAATTTACATTAATATTTTCAATTTTATATATATATATAGATAAATTTTCAATCTTAGATATTGAAATCTTGTGTGACTTCCACTTGTGATCTACGCTTGTAAAACAACACATATGCACTCTTCGTTATAATTTAATCTTCATCTACCTCAGTAACTTGAGCGTCATCAAAGCTGTACCATTTTCCATTCAACTAACACTAAACAGTTAAAGTACGTGGTTCTATCCAAAAGCAGTATAATGTCCTCCTCCCATGCCTCCAAAATGATTTGATACTGCAAATAAATCATATATGAGTTTCTTATCGTCCTCTCTTTATTCTGGAAATTCTTCTTCTATTTTTTCTTTTGATTATTATTCTTTCTCATAATCCAATGGTCTATTCTTATTCAAAATGAATTCTGTTAGATCTAAACCTCTTACAGGAAAGTCAACAAAAGTTTCAAGTTTCTATTTAAAATATCCACTTGATGCTTTAAATCTTTTTAATGTGAATATTAAAATATCAGATGCCTAATTATAATATTAATATAAATACTTTATAAATTTACATACTCTTAAAAGCTTATACATGTTCTTTGCAAACTTTGCAATACCATGCATTATCTTCAGCCAATTATTCTGGTTATTCTGATTATTTTAAACATTCCTATAGTGTTACTTTTTAAATTAAATTATTATTATTAGAAAAATTATTATTTTTTCCCATATTTCTTGTCTTATTTAAATTATTATTTTCATCATTATTCATATTATTTCTTTCTTCTAAATAATTATTATATTAAACATTACCTTCCATTTATTTTTTATATTACTAATTCTAATAATATTGGTAGATGTCAGTAGGTTTAACATTTTAAAAAGGACTTTAATTCCAAAATACAATTAACTCTATCTTAGTATTTTAATCATTCTCTAATGCTTTTGTTTTTATTTTTTGATATGTATCATCTAAATAATCTACATTACAATCAGGACAATTCTTCTAATTACAAAAACTGCAGGATGACCAATAAGTACTTTGAGATCTGAATTGTATATTATAATACTAAATTCTATATAATTATTAATACTTTTTAGTATATATTTTCTTCATAATATTATTGCAATTTTTCTGGAGTTTACAAATCATTTATTGAAACAACATCACAAAATATAGGAAGTAGAGCTTTAAAAATAGCAAGATGTATTTATTTAAGAGTATACTCTTTTTAAATGATTACATAGAATTATTAAAGAATAGTTCTTTTATATTATTAACCAAATCCATCTAAGGCTTTCTAGGAATAACCCAAATAGATTCTATCATCTAAAGGTATTGATTTCTCCACTTCACTTAAAAGTTTAACAATTAGATATCCTCTTTTTGAATTCTTTCTTACTGAATTAATTTCAGATTTTGAATCAATTAGATCTTGAATTTCATTGCAATAAGATGTATAAAATATTATTTCTGCATTTTAATCAATTTTGAATTCAGGAATAATATATTCTTTAGTAAATTCATGTAATGGCATACTTTTTTTAGATCCTTCAAAATTTATATATTTAGTTTCTATTGAAACTATTGATTTGATAACCTTGATTTAAATGGACTTTTATTTTTTACTTGGTATACTAAGTCCACAAGTTAGAAATGGATCAAATGTAATAGATATTTAAGAACAAGTAGGACATTTAAGAGTTGATTTATATTATCCATGCATTAAATCTACAATAATTGATTGATTTCTAGCAAGATGATTCTCCCAACTTTCTTTTGCTACTTCAAAATCTGGTTTTCCTTAATTATCTTTTGATTCAACATAAGGTTTCTTTTTTACTCTATTAAGATCTTCATGTAATCCATCTAATAAAAATGTAATTAATTCAGAAGAATCATGTTATTAAAATCCTTTAAACATAGGTTAAAATTATCCAACTGCTTTTTTAAAACTTGTTGGTATTACAACATTTTTATCACCACACCATAATTTCTTAATAAGTGATGCATATTTTCTGACTAATTATCCTTTTGTTCCTAAAGGATTATCTTCATTAATTTCATCAAAATATTTATTTGAAATAAAATATTCTGATAATTAATATGTATTTGATAAACATTGTGTACCACTATTCATAAAACATGTATTTCCTAGATTAGCTAATCCAGCTACTCCTTTTACAGATTTATCATTAATAATAATCTATTTTACTTATTCATCATCAGATCCACAAGGATCACATTTTGGAAGATGAAATTTTTCATCAGATACTTTACATTTTTCTGAACAATATGATACTTTTTTGCATATACAATGAAAATGTAATTCACTAATTGAACCACAACCTTCACATTTACCTTCTACTGGAACAGAAGGATGTCTAATACACCATGGTTTATAACATTGTTAAAACTTATTTATAAGATAAATATAATACTTCAATTACAATAAGATCATTATCAGTTAGATTCAATGATTTTAATGTAATATCTGATGAATTTTCAATAGGATCTCCTGAAAAATCAAATACTTAATCATCATTAAAATCAAGATCTTAAACTTATTTTTTTATTTCTGCAAATAATGCCTTATGAGGATCATTTTAATTTTTATATCTCCATATTCTAACACCATTCTGATTATTGTAATTACCCCTAAAAGTAGGTACAGTTTTTTATATTATTGAATAAAGATCTTTCATTACACAATTTTCATCTGCTTATAAATATTCTTTATCAATTTGTGTTAGATTATCTTATGCAATTTAAATAATCGTATTAGGTAAAATCAATGTGGCATTGAACTTTTTAAAATCAAATGATATATACTTTAAGCAAATTCACAACCACCTTTTTATTTTTCCCTTATCCAACAGAATTTCGTACAATCTAAAGACCTCTATAATTTTAATTCAGATAACTCTAAATTTATTATGAAATCACTATATAATTAATTCCCTCTTTTAAATCAGGTTTTAACCATATATTCCATGGATTAGAGTTTAGAGGATAAAATTTAAAACATTCATTTATGCGCTCTAGCAAATCATAATTATAATTTTGCAACATTGTTTATCCAAATTTCTTGTCAGGTGGTTGACCATTTATAACTTAATCATATGATACAAATTATTTCCACTATTCAAACCAACTAAGTAATCAAATTCATTTAAATACTTTTTACTCAAAATATAGTATTTGTCACATTCTTCATTCTCAAAGTTTTCTTACAATTAACACAACATATCATGCATTTCTTTAGCTTGTTGTTTTAATTTATTAGCTTAATATTGAGAAATACTTGTTTTCTATTAATCATCTGAATCCTCTTAACTATTAAAGTGATAAAATCACATAATTACTCGTCATCATTTCCAGAATATTTCATGATAAATTATATTATTATTATTAGTATAACTCAAACTCAAATACCTAATAACTGGTGAAATACAAAATATTCTTTAACTAGTATTATAGAATTTTGTAAAATTTCATCAATATTATTAAATCTACCCCCATCCAAATTTATGTATAAATTAGAGTCCCATTCTCATTTTAATACCAATCATCATTTAAATGTCTAATATAATAATATTAATTATAAAATACTTATTCAAATCTTGTCAAATAATTATTGAGTAAATCCATTCCTCAATTAATCATAATATATCTATTAAATACATTATTTTAAAAACACTTTATTCAATCCTCTATTTAAATCAACCTACCCTTCTTTCCATTACCTTTTTTACACTGATTGATTCTATCAAAAATTAACTGAGATTTCAAACATAATCAATTTTATTTATATTTTTTATACATTACAATATACCAAACATATCAATTAAAGATAAATTGTTAAAATATAAAGAAAAAGAAAGATAAACTACTAAAATTAAAATCAAGATGTAAAGATTTCTAAAAATTCTTAGTTTAATCACTTAGATATTGAAATAAATAAAAACTATCTAGAATAAAAAACCCTTGATTTGTAATTACATTTAAGTGAAAAATGATATATTATAATAATATTTCAGTTTAATCATTTTTAACTTACCATATCAAATATAATATAATTATTATATTTAAATAAATTACAATACAAATTAAGATATATATATACCTATTAATTATATTGAATAAAAAAATAATAAAGTTATAATTATATAATAATAATGATTCCTTAAATTATATAATTATATCCTATTTTTTTTAATTTGAGCAAATAAGAATATTTTTACAATCAGAAATATAAAATTTTTCATTCATTTTTCAGTTATTCTATCCTAATTATTTAATCTATTAGACAAAATTAGTAAATATGCCCTCAAAATAATTAAATTTACATTTAAAAAGTCCATTTCCTTATAATTCTTAATAGAAATTTTAGTTTATAATCCAAAAAAAGATATATGTTTATTTTTTTAATAGTTATTAAAAAAAAATAAATGCAAATTTATTTATCTATTTATTTATTATATATATATGTAAGTAGATTAAAGAAATTAACAAAAGAATAAAAGTGAAGATTTATTATAATTATTAAAATAATTAAAAGTATCATATTATCAATATAAGTTTAAATTACTTCAAATCCTATTATTTTTCATAATATATCCTGTATTTTCAAGTTGATCACTTTATTTTCCCTTATTTTATAACAATCTACCAATTATAAGTTTGATGTCACTTTTTTAATTGTTTTTTAAAGGCTAATGATTTTCTTTATTTTATTTGGTTTCTTCATGAGTACTATGATTATGATTATATCTAATTTTTTATATGTTTTCTTTCATTCTTAATGTTGTAGAGGGACACATGTATTATGAACTGTTTTTTAAAGTATTTAATTAATTCTGAGTAAAAGCAGGGACTTTGAAACTATTAAGTGAAGTATTATTTGTTATCTATTAAGTAGAAGTACTTTATTAATAACTTATTTCAGTTTAACCCAACATTTTATTTAAATTACATATTTATTACTTAACTCCTTCTTAAGACATGGATCTTTAATAATTAGATTCTTTTTATTTTTATAATTCATGTTTAATTGATCTATTATAATCAAATTATATTTATCTATTTGAGATATTTGGATTCAATTATTTTAAAATTTTAGGTTTTTATGTTTCTTCTTTTAGATTGTTTTTAGAATCTAATTAAAATGATTCTTGATTTTATTAAAATATACTTTATTCTTATAAATAAGAATTAAGATTATAATTATTACTGGTTGGAATAGAAAATGTTGATTATGACTTTTATTTTTTATCTTTCATCAAATTAAATTAATCAATTGATATAGGCATTCCTTCATTCATATTTGAAGACTTATCAAATGATTGATTATTTTGAAATAATTATGATTGAATTTATTATTTTTAAGCTAATATAATAGATTAAGTGGATGAATTTTTCAAATAATTATTGTATATTTGTATTTTACTTTCAGGACAAGCAATATGAAAACTTTTACATTAAACAGGACTATCATATGATTAAAGAGAACTCTTTATTTTAATAGCATCAATACTTCTCTTTTTTGAGGTACTATTATAACAATTCATATTTTCAATTAAATTTGAATCTCTATTCATTTTTTTGATTTCTTCAATTTACTTTAATAGAATTTGTTTTTCATATTAGAATTAAGCCTATATTTCAGTATTTTAATTATTCAATTATTTAATTTAATCTTCATATTATTATTTCAAATTAACAACATCTATATTCTATTCAAGATGTTATTGATATTTTTTAATCGTATTCTAACATTTACTAATTCTCAATTAAAGTTACTCTTTTTCCTTTTCATGCAATGTAGATAATTATGCAAATTTTAATTCATAATCCTGCTACTTTGTATTATGATCTTAAATACATAGATCTTTTGCTTTTTGTAGTTCTTAGTCATAAATCATTTTTTATTATTATTCTTTCTATTTATAAACATCTTCCTATTTAATCAAATTGTCTCTTAATCTTTAATTATCCTAATAATTAACTAGTTTTTCTTATTCAAGTTAAGATATTCGATGATCATAAAGCATATATTACTTTTAATATTGTAATTCCATTTCCTTTCCTTAAGATTCCTTCTCTTAAAGCTATTCTAATAATGATCTAACCTTAAATTTAAAATGAGTATTACTTAGTGTTCTAACTATTTGATCTACTCCTTAAACTTAATCTTACTTTGGTCTTTCTGTTAAATATCGATATTCTTTTATAATTCAGCATATGATTTCTAAGTTGTAAAAACAACCAAATACTTTCTAATTGGCTGTTGAATCACTAATGGCTTAAGTAATAGTGTCATTTAATTTTCTTTAGTTAGTTTCTCTTAACTTATAGTCTTCTAATTAAAGTTCAAGTAAATATGTTTTTTATTCTAGTACGGCTTTATCTTTTTTCCATTCGTTCTCTTTTGATATAATCTTATGATTAAATATTATGAAAATACATATTTTCTCAATTTGCTTATGTCATTCTCCTCAAAAAAATTAAATGAAGAATTTAACATTCAAAATAATATAACGATTAAGTGAATTATAAATAAATACCTAAAAAAAGCATATGAAAATACACATTGAAAAATATATTGTTTGAAACACTTTAATCAAATTATCAAATTTATATAATACTTAATAACCAATTTTAAAACATTATTCCAAACGAAATTCGTTTCAAGATATATTTATTAATTAAAATGTAAAAAATTAAATTACTTGTTCTTTTAGCTTTGGCAGCCACCTTAGCAGCAGTTATGTATTAATATGCACCTTTGGAACAATATTATGTATTATTGATTTAATAATTAAGAATTTAAGAAGACTCTCTCATGAAACTTATACAAAGGGTGAAGCCAATTATGAATTTTGTATGGAATTATGTACAAATAAAGGAGGAGTCAATTGTGGTGGAAAAAGAAAAGGTATATTAATTCGTTTTTAAAATTAAAAGGTTGTTGTCATCGTGATGCTTGTAGTGCCAATAAGATCTATGGATGGGATGAATGTGCAAAGGGTTAATCAGTAAGACTTGGTACTGATAGATGTATAGGTAGTTGGGATTGAGTTAAGAAATAAATTTAGAATATATATAATTATAATTACAGAACATATATTTATAACATAAAATATCAGTATTTTAGATATATTTAAGAAGAACTTTGAAGTTCTAGGTTACAATCAAATATATTTTATATATATTTATGTCATCTTTTATTAAATCTATATTCATTAATAAAATCTCGATTTTTAATCACAAAATCTCAATGTCTCAATCGTTGACGATTCATTAAGAATTGAGAAAGCAATTTGTTTTACAGTAAGTTACCAACTTAGAGTCATAATTAACAAAATGGGTTTAACATAATTGTCCTAAGTAATTAATTATTAGAATATAGTGACGATATATTACAATCTCATTCAGACGAAGCTCATTCTTAAAGTTAAACCCACACAAATGTACTTCATTTTTAAGGTCTTCTCATATACCTTAAATCATTAAGTGAAAATCCTTCTCCATTGGAATTTCATACAATGAAATCATTACAACAGTATTTTGATTATATGTCCCAAATCTTATAAAATGAACTTAAGCTATCCTATTAAAGATAAACTATGAAAATAAATGATAAAAATATTGAAAAAAAAAGTTAAAAGTTTTCTAAGAAGTCTAACTTAATTTTAAAAAACTGGTTGAATAAACATTATTCCTATCCATATCCTAGTAAAGAATAAGTTGAATAATTAGCTGAAAAGTGTTAATTAACATAAAAACAAGTAAATATTATTAAAATAATTAGATTTAAATTTGGTTTATAAATGCAAGAGGAAGAATAGGAAATAAAATGTATGAGGAGAGAAAATTTAAAAATATTGTCAAATCTAAATATTTATCATTAAATTCTAATAAAATCAATAAAGAAAAGTTAGAGCTTAATCAAAATGATTAATGATATTAAAAATAAATAATAATTATATTATAATTGATTATTCAAATAATCTATTATATTTAAAATATATAAATTAATTAAGACATCTATTAATACATTCTATTTGATTATCATATAAATATAAGTATGAATTTACATATTACTATCATTTTATTATTAAATATTATTAATAGAAATAATTTTGATTATTAATATATTTAATATTATATAATACACATTTAATGTAAGAAAAAAGATTTACTCGTATTACAATTGATAAAAATCATCCTTAATCAAACATATATATTACTAATAAAGATTTCTTAAGATTTAAAAATAATAATTAAAAGAAATAGAAACTTGAGCAATTAGCATTGATGGATATAGTTGTTATAATTAATTTAATTGATCAAGAAATACTTTATGAAGAGATTCCTCATTTAAATCCTACAACTGTTAAGAAATGCTAGAATAACCCTTTTTTAGAAAATATGGGAGCATCAAAATTAATTGATGTAATTAATTCTCTATGTTATAATATTAGGATGTACTTAAAGTATAACAAAAATCAGTGGCCATTTTTTGTGATGAAACATATATTAAATCTTAATAATTACTAGTTAGTTATCTTATTTATGATAAATTTAAAATAATGACAGATATTAGAAATTTAGATTCGCTTGAAAATAGATTATGTGAAATTAACTTTGAAAAAAAAGAAATTGCTTTAAACGAAAATAACTTACATATCTTAAAAGGTTTTTATGGAAATCCAATATTTCCAAATTATAGATTTAAAGCTGAAATTAATTAAATTTCAGAAGTCTTAAAATTTTAATAGACAAAGAGTATAAGTGATAAGACTTATACTAATAGAGATAAGAATGTAACATATTTTATCAATGGTGATAATCTCAATTTAAGTTATCCACTTAATTAATTGTAATTATCAAAAATAGGTGATTAATATTTAATTATTTAGATTTAAATTAAAAATATTTTGAAGTTTTAGAAGCAATAAAAGATGATGAAGTTGTCAAATGGAATAGTGCAATCATATTAAAATAGAAATGAATTTTAAATAATTCTATTTTATCAATATCATAATGTATCCATTAATTAATAAAGAATAACAATTTTCAAATTGTTTAATTATACCAACTCTTCTTTATATAGGTTATTTATTATTATTAAATTTCAACTCTAATACATTTTATTTATATATGTAATAAAAAATAATAAATATAATGAATTAAAATCTGATTTATCTTGAAGAAAAAATTAAATACAATTCAGTTGAAGTTTATCTTTATATTATAAGATTTCCTACAAATCTTTAAGAGTAAAAATAGTTAATGCAAATTATAAAGAGCAAAAATATCTAAATTATTTATTATTTTGGAACTTAATCCTTCATCTACGAAAACTTATTTGTGCCTAATATATCATTAGAAAAGGAAGAAGACAAAGAAAAAGTTATATAAAATATGAAAGTATTTTAATGACAATATAATAGGAAGACTTAACAAAAAAATAGAATAATATTGGTTTGATGTGTACTAAAACATTTGAAAAGAGTTTATAGATTTATTTTCATTATATGGTTAAGATAGAATTAAAAAAATTTGAAGATTTTAACTTAAAAGTATTAAAATAACTACTCTTAGCTATTTGAACAAATTTGGACATAAGAATAATTGAAATTGATGTATGAACAATTCAACAACAATAAAAAAATTACAATATTTGATTATAATCTACTTTTAACTAATTCAAATATAGGTTCACAAATCTCTAAGGAATAAATTTAGAGTTAAGTTGTTTCATCAGAATAACCGTAGAAAGAACTAATATCACAAAGCCTAAATGATGATACTCTGATGTAAAAAGGATCTTAATAGTAATCCTAATTACAATAAAAAAGCAATATTTTAGGATTAGATGATTAAGTAATATCAGAAATTTTACCTGTTTCACATTTTTTTTAAAATTCACAATTATCAGAAATTACAGAAAGTGAAAATAATAATAGATCTAATAGATCTACTTAGCACTTACTTAGGTTTGAATCCAAATACAAATTACCACAAACTATTACATTTGTCAATTTTATCCCTAAGAATGGTTTTAGATGTTTGGAATGAATTATTCATCTAATTTAATTGCCATCAATTAATAATTTAATTAAAAATTACTCTTAATTCATTAAAATTCTAATTTTTAGTTTATTATTTATATTTAATCTAAAATTTTTCATTTTTTTTAGAATATAGATTATAAATTATAAAATTAGTTTTAACAATATTAAAATAATAATTATATTAAAGTACCTCATTAATATTGAATGATTTACTAAATTATTTTCAATTTCTAAATATCTCTATAAATTAAAAAGACAATTTTTATTATACAGTCTTTAAAGATTATTTAATAAAAATATTATATATCTCAGTAAGTGAATTAATAAAAAAATAGCACCATAATAGAGCTTATTAGTAGATTACAAAAATTGAATATTAAAACATAAAGTATACTATTAATTGTATCTAATTAAAATGAAATATAATTCATATCCTGAAACATAATCTAATATACTTATTTATTAATAGATTTATATTAAAATATTTCATTTAGCATTTTTTTAAATATATTTTGTTATATTTATAGGAAATCTCAAATTTAATTATTTTCAAAATGCTTATTTTGAATTTCATTGTGTAAACGACTGAAAATTAATGTATTTTTGAATAAAAGATAAATTAAGGTCATAAACGAAATTATAACGATTTATGAAATAATCAAAGAAAAATTATTGTTTAGAATATCAGATCACATGAAAATTGACAAAATTAATTTATAAAATATATAATTGATCTATGAATTGAAATTAAATTGATAAGAATAATTGATCCATCTACTTATTAAAAAGTAAGTTAATTATTGTTATTGTTTATTCTAATATTTCTATTTATTTAGAGTTCAAAGTTGTTAATTTCTTTTTTTTATTGTTTCTAGGGTAATAAACTAACTAATAGTTCATTAATGGAAAATTAGGATTTATTTGATTTTAAAGTATATTTTATATATGTTAATATGTATGAATAATAATTATCATCAATCTTCTTTTAAATTCTTTTTTGTATTTTTTTCATGTTTCTTATGATTACTAAAATAATTAAACATATATGTACATTTATATATCAATTGAAGTATTTGATGGATCATTTGAATCCTTGGAATTACTTCTGATTGGTTTTTTTTAGTTATATATTTAAGTGTAGAATTTATCTAAATTCTTGTTCAATTTATCCATATTTCTAATTAAAATTTATTAATTTAATGGAAATTATGGTATATTTGATTTATAAAAGCTTTGGCTTATAAATATATAGATTTGATTATTGTAATATAAAATAGTAAGAAATAGGAAGATTTTTATATTTCTATAATATATTAATAACTCACTTAAAATAAATGTTAAGCCCAACAGTCACAGAAAATGAATAATAAAGAAAAATAGGTGAAAAGCTTATTACAATTATTCGAACTATTTTAATAACAGAAAGAGAAGTCTTAAATTTGGTTAATTATAGGTTGAGGAATTGAAAATAACATTAGCAGAAAATATTAGATTTGATATCAGTGATGCATTTAGAGCAATAGATTCAAACATGAAAGGATATATAACTTCTTAAGACATATTTAGATTCATGTGTAAGAATGGATATAGTGTACATTAAAAGTTTTGTGATTTCTGGATCTTCACATGGAGTAAAGGAGATGATAAATTAAGATATCAATTATTTCTTGAATTTATTGTTCCTAGATATGATAGAGATGCAGCAATGTAATGTATAGTTAGAAAGTTGTATTCAGAAACAGGGAAATGTATCTATAAATAATTAATTAACATATAGATAAACTGACATTTTATTTAGAGGAATTTGTTGCTAAGTTAATATATAAGGAAATTGATTATTTAAGAAATATTGAAATAGAGAAAATGAATTTAGCTCAATTAGTTGAATGGAAATTCACAACAGTTTTTAAGTATGTTGCAGGTAATTTACCTGTTATTGATAAAAGATGTTTAGATTAATTATTAAATAAATTTGAAATACAATCATTCACATAATAAGAATATAATATGTTTTTAAAGAGATTCAATAAAAATGAAGATACAATTTTATAAAAAGATGAATTTAGTGATGCTATATTCCCAAGTAGAGAATTGATTTAAGAAGTTTAACCTCCTAGAGATGGATTTCAAGAATATGTTCTTAATCATGACTAACAATTAGATTAGTTATTGGGTAAGGATTAAATCAATGATGGAGATGATTTTATATTCAAACCAGAAGAACATAAAATTAAATTAAATTCTACTTAAAAAGATTAATAAGAGTTTATTACTAAAAAATAATATCAAAATGAATCTACTTATAATTAAAACATTTATTAACCTCCTACTAATAATTAACCAACTTAAAATAAAGCTATACTTATGAGTTTTAAACCACAATAAACTTAATCTTAAATTTAATAAAATTCTATTGATCATAGTATTAAAGCATCAACTCCAATTCATATGAAATCTAAAAATTACAAAAGTCCTAATGAACAACCTTCTCAATATCAATAATAAGATTTACTCTAATAATTTGAAAGAAAATAAAATACTTCTTAAATGGCATTCAGTCAAGATAATTTATCTGGTTATAATAACTATTATAATTAAAATTTCAATTTGGAATAGTCTTAATAAATTTAATATAAATAATATATTAATTAACCAACAAATGCTTAGTATATTTTATCAAAATAATGATTGTAATTTTATTCAATTTTTATTATAAGTATTAATTATTTTTACAATAAGTCATTTGAATTAATTTAGTAATAGTTTTAATGATTCCTTTTCCATTACATCATTCATCTTCAAAATTTATTTTTTATGAGTATCAAATAATTTCCCAGGTTTCTTTACTATCAACTCTATTTGTGTCTCATCACTTTAGCTTTCCTTTATTACTAACTGTCAAATAATATTATATTTTATACATCATTTATAACCATAAAATTATTACATTATATAGGTTCGTCATTATTTTATTCTTTCCAATCGGTATCATAAAATAATAAAAATCCATCAACTGAAATTATGAAATTTGTAGGCACGAAATCCTTGCCAAAACTTAATGATCTTTCCCAAGCAACATCCCTTTGAACACAATACTTTTTGAGAATCAAAGGGGATTATTATAATAGATATTCAGGAGAAGGTACTAAAAAAGATTAAATAATATATACTTGTAAAATTTGAAGCAAATGCATTATATATATCTGTTGTAATATCATTCTATAAAGGAATGCCTGAATATTTCTTAATCACTACAAGTTATTCTGATGTTAATAGTTAATTTATATTAAATGCTGCTTTTGCTTATTATAATATTTTTGGATTTGTAAAATCAATTGTTTTTTAATTTGGATATTGAAAATATTTTCCTAATTCTGTATTTAATTGTGAAAATAATTTCTATATATAATCTATTCTTATATATTCAAATTCTGATATTTCTTTAAGAATATATGTAGTAAATACACCAAACTATTATTATTATGTTATGAGAGATTTAAAATAATCTAAATTTAATCTATTTATTTACAATGCATTCTATATTCTTCATCATAGATATCCTTCAATGGTTGTACTCCTTAAAAACCCAATTCTACATTTTAAGCATAGATTTATTCATATTGAATGAAACTCTTATAAAATTACTCTACAGCTTCAAATGTTATGTTTCGTTATCCTTAAACTTACATCAAATAATCAGATATTTTTTATTGATTCATTTATTAACATATAATTAATTTATCTTTAATTTCCCCTTTTAAATTGTTCTTAAATATTTAAATATTTTAAATATGTTATTAATATTCACTTTCAAGTTTATTAAAATTTTAGCATAATTCTTAATGATAAAATTATATATCTTCTTTATCTTCCTTATAATTTAATTATTAGTTTTGATTTTCATTATTTATATTTTAATTACCAGATTGATTAGATTTTTAATTTTTATTATTTTTTTGAAGTTATTTAACTTATTTTTTAGTTTTATTTGTGAATAATTGACTCAACATTTTTTAATTTGGTTAAACATAAGAATATGTTGTAAAATAATCAAATTGTATTGATAGATTATTCAAATAATTAAGTATCATTTCAAATGAATTATTAGATGATTTATATCTCATTTTTATTTACTAAAATACAGTTTCAACAATTGTTAAATATTCAAAAATGAATTCAACCATTTTAATCATATATTAGACAAAAATTTAATGACTTTATATTCTTCTTTCTTAATAAGCTGCTTTCCACATTTCATCTTTTAATTATTGCTTAGATTATTATAAATAATTAATATCAATATTATCTTTAAGTTTTTATTGGATAAGACATAAATATTCAATTCTTGAATTGACTTATTTGCCTGTAATCTTTTTAATGTATGATTTAATAGTATTTTGAAAAAAATTAGATTCTAATTTTTATTATTGTTTATTAAAATCTGCATTAATATTAGTTTATGTAGGTAATATATTTCTAATCTATTATTATTATTATTATTATTATTATTATTATTATTATTATTATTATTATTATTATTATTATTATTATTATTATTATTATTATTATTATTAAGTATTTTCTATTTATTAATTCATCTTGCCTGATCCATCATCAGTTGGAGTATCCATCATTTAATTTATTGTCATTCCTACAACTGCAGCTTTGACAGCAAATGATTAAATATTTTAATTTTCTTTAATAGCTTCCATGCCTTTTTCATATTATTATTTAATTATCTATTAACCCTATTCCAATTATTATCCAACTACTTCCTTTTTTTTTTATTGATATATTTACATTAACTTTCTGAATTTACTAATTTGCTAAGTTGGATGCCTTTTAAATTTAAGAGTTAGCAATATCAGTACCCTTTTGTATAGTTTTATTGGTCTAATCTAAAATAGGAACAAGATTCTTTTATGCTAAATCTAATCCTTTAGCAAGTTGAGCTGCTTCTGGATGTCCTTAAGAAGTTTAGGATTTTAATACCCATGACTTTTAGTAAAGGAGCAGCAACCTTCATGGTTTGGTTGGCTTCTGTAATTTAATTAGTTAATTGTGATGTTTGGTTTTGTAATGTGTTTTAGGCTGTCTTAAGTTATGAATTGACTTGATCTGCTTTTGAATCGATAAATTTAGTTAGTTTAGTATTTAACATAATTAATTAATGTCTCAATTTATTGATCAAGAAATAAATGGATACAAGGTTTAGAAAGCAATAGGAGAAGGGAAATTCTCTACAGTATATAAGGCAATGAATAATGAAGGGAATGTAGTTGCATTGAAAAAGATTAAAGTGATTTGTTAATTTATATTAGATTTTTGATATGATGGATCCAAAATAAAGAGAGAAGTGTTTAAAAGAGGTGAAACTTATGCAACCCTTAGATCATCCAAACATTATAAAATATTTGGATTCATTCATTTACAATAACGAATTAATAATAGCTACAGAGTGGGCAGAAAAGGGAGATTTGAAAAAATTAATAAAAAATGCTTAATCTGATGATACTCCATTTGAGGAAGTGCAATTATGGAATTATATAATGCAAATAGCAAGTGCATTAGACCATATGCATGAAAAGAGAATAATGCATAGAGATTTGAAACCAGCAAATATATTTATTGGAGGAGATGGTACATTAAAAGTTGGAGATTTGGGTTTGGGTCGTATATTTTCATCAGAAACTATAGAAGCCTACTCTAAAGTTGGAACACCATTATATATGTCACCTGAGGTAAATTATCATTAAAAAGGAAGAGCTCCTTCATGGTGAAGGGTATGATATGAAATCAGATATCTGGTCATTGGGATGCATTGCATATGAGATGGCTGAGTTCAAGAGTCCCTTCAAATAAAGTGAGAAGATGTCTCTAATGGATTTATTTAATAATATCACAAAAGGGGAATTTAAACCAGTTTCTAATAGATATAGCCAATAATTGAGGGATGTCATAGAAGGAATGATTGTAGTAGATCCACAAAAAAGACTGGATGCAAGTACAGTTTTATAGAAAGCTAAAGAGATTCATGATACATTTCTTGATACTAAGAAGACTCCATAGATAATTAATGTTTTGATGATGGAAGTAATTAATGATGCAATTAATTAAGGACATCTATGAGAAGTTGTCATTAGTATAGTATCATGAATATTTCTGTATTCCATTAAAAAAGAAGCCAGTTTCAAAATATTATTTTTCTTTAGATGAAAATGTTAATTAGAATTAAAGATTTTATTATTTTGTTGAGTTATGTTATTGGTTAATGAGTTTGCCAAAGTAAAAGAAAAGTAAAATGGCATAACCAATTAAACTTAATTATAATAATGTAGAAGAAACTGCTAGAAAATTACTTATTGATATTAAAGGATGGGGAATAAAATTACCTGAATAATTGGGATCTCCTCATATTTCTTAAGGATGTGGAGATATGGTTTGTTTTATTTTAAATGATTTATTAAATAGAGAATTAATTAGAGTTAATTTTAAATTTGAATCACCTAATTTTGGTAAAGATATGGAAAATTCTGTTATTTAAGTTAATAAAATAGATGATGAAGATTTGGTTGAAATTTAAGAAGAAGGAAATGAAAATGAAGAAGTTGAATAAGATGAGTTAACTTAGAGTATTCTATTTTATCATAAGAAATATAATAATGAACAAACTGATTATAATTAAGTACCTTAAGATAGATAAGTTATTGAAACTAAAGTTGCAATTAATGAATGGACTAAAGAATTTAATAGAGTAGAAAAGGAGTTTTCTAAATTCGAGGCTAATCTTAAAGTTAATAAACATTATTTAAAGGATTATGAGAGAACCTTAATTACTATATCTAAATGCTCTAAAGTAATTACATTTATATGTTAGCAATTATCTCTTCTCTCTGAACATTTGAAGTCCAATGAAGTCTAATAAATTTAATAATAATGGATTGATTATTTGGAATTGCTACCTAAATTAGAAACCAAAGTTACTGAATAAATACCTGAAGATGTTTAGATTACATTAAAATAGAATAGAAATACTATATCAGATTTATAATTGCAAATTTCATTATTGAGTAAAGGAAATATAGAAAAGTAGGAGATAGATCAATAATTAAATTAATAGTTATTAGATATAAAGGAAAGAACACCTATTTTGGTTGATAATAGATCTAAATAAAAATAGTTGATTAATTAATTAAGAGTATTCATTTAAATAAATTATGATAGAATGATATAAGGGATATGAATATTAAAATTGGCATAATGCAAACTCAAATATCAAAATCGAATTTTAATACTAATGAAGTATTATCTGATGAAGAATTCTGAAATATCTAATAATTTTATTTTAAATAATATATATCAAGATATAAGAGATTTGCATTTACTATTTTCTGATCTTTGTTTTGTCTTAATACATAACTAATAATTGAAATATTTAATAAACTATTCTGATTAATTATTTATGCTCATTACATTAAATAGGGTATTTTAAAAAATATTTTTATCTAATATTTATAATTTGGATGCTAAGCAAAATACAAATCATTTATGAGATTGCGACTTTCCATACTATTTGCCAAAGAAAACATTTGCTCAAAGATATCACTTACTTTTTGTATATTATTGATGACACAATGATTCTTACTAATGTATATATAAATGTTAATTTTTAAGGAACTTGAGTCTTAATAGCCTAAATACTAATTGTAATTAAATTTAGAAACTAAGATTTTCTTGAGTCTAGAAAAGGACAGACAATTAACTTAATTCGGGTTTGAATATAAAGGGTCAGTCAAATATTTTGTTGCTAAAGATGAGGAACTTCGGAAATTGAAATCTCATCTCAGAAATAGAGTTATGTTCAAAGATGTGAGTGATTTCTATTAACCTATTAAATTATTAGGTAAGGGTGGATCTTCTAAAGTAAACAATTTATTTCAATTATAGGTATACTTAGTATTGGACAAGGATAATAAATAAGATTTTGCATCAAAATGTGTTGAAAAACGATATTTAAAAGAAGACGGAGGATTTGTAAAATTTTGTACTATATCGTTAGCAAGCCTTGTTCAATGAGATAAATTTAATGGCTACTTTAGATCATGAATCTGTTGTTAAATTGGAGGAAGTCTATGAAGGAGAAAATACGTTTTATCTTATTCTAGAACATCTCAAAGGTAATTCATTACATGAACTCGTAAGTCGAGGATAGATAACACAATTAAGTTGGGACTAAATCAAATCAATACTATGGGTATTTTTTATATCTCTAAATCTTACAGTAAATATTGACAGGAGTTGCAAGAATGCATTAATTAGACATAATGCATAGAGATTTAAAACCAGAAAATATCATGTTTAAAGAACCTAATCAATTAACAGGATTAAGAATTGTAGATTTTGGATTAGCAACATCAACCCAGGTATCAAAATACCTATTTCCTAAATGTGGAACACCTGGATATGTTGCACCTGAAGTAGCAAATCTTAAAGATTAGACTTAAAAATATGATAAGATTTGTGATATGTTTAGTGTTGGATGCATTTTTTACAAATTGTATTAAATTAATTTCTAAACTTATTTAGAATAACTTAGAAGGATTTGTTTCCAGGAAATGATTATCATGAAATCTTAAAGTTGAATAAGAAATGCATTATCAATTTAGATAATTTAAGCATTTATAGAACACCTTAAGCAGCAATGGAACTTATTTAATTGATGTTATAAGCTGATCCAAAATAAAGAATCACAGCATAATAGGCTTTAGAACATCCATTTTTTTCGGGAGGTTTTACTGATAGAAAATTAAAATTCTAATCATAAAAGAAAGGATAAGGATAAGGGAAGTTATGGCAAACTTCAACATTTCGAATGGAAAAATCAGATAAATTATAATTACCAGAAATCAAATAGAAATCAAGATAAAGAGATGAAGATGAAGTAGAAGATGAAAAGATTAAAATAAAAGTTCCTATAATGAATAGTCCAAGATTAGCATAACATGCTAAACGTAAAAATTTAGCATTAGCTGATGGTTCACCAACTGAAAATCCAAAAAAGAGTGCATTTAAAAAATTTTCTACTTAAGAATTCGATTAATAATCACCTGATACATGTTCACCAGATTCTGCAAGATAACATCCAACATTAATAATAAACAATAGTCCTAAACTTATATAGAGTTAAACATTAAAAAGAAAGTTTACTTATAAAAACTATCACTAACATTAAGCAATTTATGAAGTAGAAGATGAGTAAAAAAATTAATGATTAATTCTATATTTGTGTTCATAGAAATAAAATAAAATAGTTTTGTATATATTGATCAAATGAGTTTTTTAAAAGAAATAGATTCTAACTTTTAAAATTAGTTTATTTAATTAATTCTAATTGAAATAGATATTCAAAAATTATTATATATATTTTGTTTATCAATCAACTAAAAAAACTTAAAATATATCATTAATTCATTGCTTTCTTTCCAAAAACTATATATTCACCTTATAAACCATGAGTCATTTTTTTACCTATATGAGTAACTTCAAATTCTTACCTTTCGAATTAAACTAATATGGTTAATTGGATGATGATCCATATTATTATTTACCATATATTTTTTTAGGATCATATTTTTTCGATTTAGGAATTTGAGGTAACATCATCTATTTATTAGATGATTATTTCTCAAGATCATCATCACTGTCATGATGTTAAGTATTTTTATAAATACTCTCAACTCTTAAATCAAATTATAAAGAGGGTAACTTTTAACAATAATAAAAATAATATACTCCTGATTTTTTTTAAGATTTTGCATAGTAATTTTAAGTTTTTTTGAAATTCAACTAATGTTATTATTTGCTTTCTTCTATTCTTTGACTTCTTTCCAAAGAATTATCATTTCTAATTAATTTAAATTATAATTATACTATTCTCTATGATTGGATATTCTAATTTATTATAAAGTATGTTAAAAGCTTTTTTAAGTATCAGCTTCATATAATTCTCTAAAATATTCATGTTTTAAGGCTTATTAAGCATTGATTCTTTCTTCAGGGTCATAAATAAGTAATAATTTAATTAAATCAATGCATTCTTTGCTTTAACCTTAAAGTAATCTATCAATACCACTGCCATGTTTAGGTGTGAAATTGATTTCCATATGAGTTGCTTATCTAATAAAATATATAAATATATAACTTTCTAAATCTATCAAAAACTTTTTGATTGGGAGTTCCTAAAATATTGTGTATTTTATTGACTTGATCTAATTCATTAGTTCCTGGAAAAAGTGGAAATAAAGCTATAATTTCAAACATGACACATCCGACTCCCCAGAGATCCATTTTAAGATCATAATAACCATCTGTCAATAAGCATTCTGGTGCTCTATACCATCTAGTTGATATATATCTATAATAAGATATAAAATTAATATTAATACTCAGTATAAGGATGTTTGGAATAGATTCCTTTACATGATCCAAAATCAGCAAGTTTGAGATGATCTGTGTTTAGTAGAATGTTTTCACTAATAATTTGAATATTGATTACGGTTTAATGTCTCTGTGAAAGATGCCATTTCTATGCATATGTTCAATAGATTTTAGCAGTTAGTACATATAAGATTTAACTTTTTAAGGATTCAAAGGTTATCTTCTACCTATTTAAAATGATGATAATAATACCTTTAATATGTTCATACAAATTCTGTTCCATCAACTCAAATACTAAAGCTAATCTTCCTGTAGGTTCATCACTAAATTAATTTTATATGATTTTCATACTAAAGCACTTCAATCAACTTAATAATGTGATCATGTGGACTTAACTTTCTTAATGCTTGTATCTCTCTCAAATGATTAACCTATATATATTCAGTATAACTTACTTGTTCAATAGATGTGAATTTATTTTTCATACATTTTATTGCTACATAATTTCCAGTTTTGAATGATTATGATTTGATAACCTCTGAAAATGTTCCTTCTCCTTTTTTACCAACAAGCTTGTATTCTATTGAAAATATTGCTAAAGATTACAATTCATTTCTCCTTATTTTATTATATAATTAATATTCAAATCATTATAGATCAAATGGGAAATAGCATCTGTCCAAAATAGCGTACTCTCTCAATTCATGAGGTTAGAGTATTTATTAAACGTCCTCCTTGTACCATAAAACTAGAGAAAGTCTCAAAAATTATATTAGTTGACGACGTTATAGAGAGAGAAGATTCTCCTTAAAATCCTCAAATCTAAAAGACTGAAATAGAGGAATCAAAAATGTAATATACAGCACAATAATCAGAAGAAATGGATAATACTGTATAACGTCCTTGGCTTAAGAAAGCATAACCTTAATGTAATGATAGTGGGATGAAAAATGATATATAGAATGTATCATTTGAACCCAATAGTTCTAGTTTTGATTTGCTGAAACCTAAATCTATACTTAAAATACATAAAAATGGTAATCATAGTTAAGAACACATATCAAATGATTAATAATCAATAGGGTCAATTAAATCAAATAAGAAAGTCAGTTTTGATAAGCAAGTTTAATTCAGCAATTTTAGAAAGCATTGAATTAACTGATTCATTTTGATGAGATATTGATTAAATTTTATTTCTTTTTCCGCAACAATATATTTTATTATTAAATTAGCTACTATTTTTATCATACATATAATTTTAATCCCTTTAATTAATTGTAAATCTATCATTCTATATTTGTTAAAACATATTTACAACAAATAAATTATTTTGACAAATAACTCAATGAACATTTTATAAATATATTTTAAAAATCATAATATGCTCTAGATAATTGTAGTAGTGTAAATCTATATTTAAATTATCAGATTAACCATATGTGAATTAGAATATTATAAAAAACAATTATAACATTATGAATGTAATTTATATTTAAAATGATTTTCGATTATAATTAGATACTTAATTTTAAGAATAAATCAATCTATTATAAAGTTGAAATTATTACCTAAAAATTGATATTTAAATAATTTATATTTAAAAAAGAAAGCAATAAGTTATTTTAAAGTTATTAATTCTGATATGCCATCCTTTTATTAATTTTCAAAGAAGTACTATAATAAAATAGAAGTAACTAAAATTGTTATATTCACTGTAGATTCTAAAATAAGAAAACTTATTTACATAAGAATATACATTTTGATAACTAGAATGAAAATATATATATAATTTAATTTATTATGATAAATTTAAAAAAAAATTCTGATTCAGATATTGAATCCCTCATTGAATCTATGTTGAGATTAATGGAATATATGAATGCTAATCCAAGTTTTAAGAGGAAAATGTTTGAATCTTTTAATCATGAAGATTTGAATAAAATTTAGAAAAATTTGAATGATAAAAAGAATATCACTCTTAGAAAGATTTCTTGTTTATTTTTATGTTGTATATTGTAGAATGAAGAGAATTGTGAAAGCTTTTTAAAATTATCTGATTTAATACCAGTTAATTCAAAAATTACCATAAATGGTATTCCAGAAAAGATTTCAAAATATGTTTCATATGATACAATATTAAAATTAAAAAATGCTTAGTTTTAAGAAAACTCATTATGTTGGTATTATACTTATCAAATGGCTAAGGAATAATAATCATCTTTGTAATTCTTTTCTTTGAATTATTCAGATATTAGAAAATCAATTACAGAATTTGTTGATCCTCTAGATTCAATTATTGGAATAGTTTATGAAAAATAGAGAATGTCTAAAACAATAGCTCTAAATAATGAGATTTCTATAAGAGATAAAAGAAATCAATTATAAAAATTAAGTGTGTCCCCTATTCCTAAATAATAGTAAATTGGAAGTACAACTAATAATAATAATAATGTTTCTTAAGAAAAATATTAAAAAAGGTATGTAATATCAAAAGCCTAATAATTTAATTAAACATATAAATTATAAGATCATTCAGCTGAAAGAAAGAGTGTTAATTATGATATTTTAAGGAATAAAATATTAGAATAATAAAACACAAGAAATACAATGATAAATTAAAAACCTAATAAGGAGATTTAATCTACAAGTATGGAATTGAAATTAAGATTACTAAAAAATTAATGATATTTGATGGATTTATTTTTATATACTTACTTCCTATAATTTTTTTGAAAATCATTAATCACTCTAAAGTTCTCGAACTAAGTCTTTCAAGGGTTTCTATTTACCATCTTCATTAAGTTTATTTTACTAATCAGATGCATTACTTTATTTGTCCTCTTCTTAGAATTGGGACTGGTTCTTAAATGAATAATTACTTTAGGATTAAAATTGGTATTCATGACTTTTTTGGCAACTGAGGTTGGATCTTAATTTTCAACAAGGGATGAACCAAATTTCTTGATATAGATGTTATAAGCAATTTGTATGTGAATTTGATTTCTTTAGAATTGGAGATGTTGCTTGTTTTTCTCATAAAAAACAGGAGCATGTTTTGGTTAATTGAAATTGGGTAATAATTGACTAACAATTTATTGACTGAAACAAGAATTAAAGTATTGTTGAGCTTACAATAATCCAGGTTTAATATTGACATCTCTTTTTGTCATAGTTGGAAGTTCCTTTGTTGGCTACTTAGTTGTAATTGCATTTCTCTATTTAGTCTATTTTGGTTATTTTCTCATATGAGGTTTGGTAATTTTCTTAACTAATAAATAGATTGTGATTATTAGATACTTTTATTCAATTCAGAGATCAGATTATAAAAGTTTTTGACAACCTCTCTAAAATCATTGTCATCATAAATTTTTCGTCGATTCCTTATTGACTGAAAGTATATCTATAAGACATAGTACATATGCAGATTTATATAGTTAGTGATTATTGTTGTTTGAACTGTCTTATTGTTGGTCACTTTCAAGTAACATTAATCTGAAATATGTATTAAATTAAAGGACTTTCACATTTAAAATATGTTTTAACAAAAATTACAGAAACAAATAAGACTCAAATATCTCAAAAAATACAATTATTTTACTGCTTTCTCAATAGTCTTATAATAGATAAGTTAGTCTTATTTAAAGTTGGATAACATGATGGATGAGACCCATTAGTAGTTAGAATAATGTATTAACAGAATTATCAATACAACTTAATCAATTTATCGTCTTTTTCATTATTATATAATGAAACAATCAGATTTCCATTCTCTAATTGAAATCTAACTTAAATGTGTTCAAATTCATTTTTACTCAAAGCTATATAATAAAAATTTTCAATAAATTATTACATTTATCTAAACTTTATTCAAAAATCTACAACTTGAATGATCAAATGATTATCATCAATAGATATGCAATAATCCTTTAAGATTATAGATAACTTAGATTGTTATTCTTATTTAAAATATCTACAATTAACTCTTTTAATATTTTTTCATTTATTTTGTACTTTTTGTGTATCTTTATAAATCTATTGGTTTATCATACTTAAACATCATAGGTTAACCCTATTTCTGAGTAAAATTTATTAGATATTTTCATTTAATAAATATATATTACATATTCATTTAATAGTGATTTTAACAAAAATATTTAAGTAAATTATTAAATAGTAGATTTAATAAGTGGATAGTTGATTTTATCAATCTAAATTCCACTTGCTTTATTTTTGTATTCATATTTTGATCAATTTCTCTTTATATTTAAAGACTCTTGATTAGAAAGTAAGATTTAAAAAAAAAAATGAATAAAATTCTTAAATGATAGAGAATAGAGCTATATATCAATTTTCTTAAGTAATCACGGTTGGAATTGGTCTTAAATTGTTTTTTTCTTTTTTCTTACTTTTTTAAAGAGGATTGAACTTTTAATGATGTGATCTACATTAAGTGGCTGTTCTTGTAAAAATAGATTGACTCATCAATTTAAAGATTTTCTTTGATTTCTTATCATATTTAGACTTCAAAATATCTTAGTGATCATTGACAAATTAAAGATACAATTGATGTTCTTGTTGACTCCAATGACCTATTAAATAATCAAAATTTGTTGATACCATTTACTCTTTATGATGTATCCATACAATTTCTATCTGTATATCCTTTGTTAATTACACTTGTGCTCGTTCCTTCAAGTGGTTAATTTTAATTTGAAGTGATGTGATAAGGCTATTGTATTTTTTTATCATTATTTGAATCCTCCAAAATTTTAGTATTTTCTTCTCTACATTCTACTTTTGGAACACATTACATATAAGAATTCACTAATAGACTATTGATAAATTGTACTGTATTAAAATATTTATTGATTATAAAGGTTATTGATTAGAAATAATGTTTACAAAAAGGGATCTGCACTGATTATATTCGTTTATTCTTGTTAATTCATAATGGACTCTATAAAATAATTTATTTAATAAGATAATTTAATTATAAATAGATTTTAAGTCATCCAAAATATATTAGGTAATACTAATTTTTATTATAATATCTTTTATTATGTCTGAATCCATATTTCATTTTTATATAATAATATATATACTGATATAAATCTATACATCCTTAAGCTATCAATTTTATAAATATTCTTGATCCTTCTCTAAAGTTCATCTCCAAAATTCAATAGTTTATCATATATGAAATTAATATTATCATAAATCAGAAAAAAGACAAATAATGCGTATTAATATGATCTAATAAAAATTAATTTATTCTAAAATTTTTAGATGCCAAAATATCTATTCTCTGATTTCAAGTCAATCCTCAATAGGTCTCTTTGGTTTCTTCTATTTATCCAAATTATTTACAGACCATAGTAAATACAATATCAAAATAATATTTCATTCTATGAATTTAAATCTAATATAAAACACAATAGATGTATTAATTCTTTTGATAAGTATAGTTTCCTTTAAATAATTGAATTTGATCTGCTGATTTGATATAATAATGAAGATAGAAGCATTTTATATTATTAAATGTTTAGATCATTTTAGTTATTAAATTATAAATATTATGATTAATTTAGATGAATTTAACTTGATTCCTTCATATAAAAATTAGTTAGAATTTGTTGTTAATTAATAGTAAATTTAAATGGAATTATATTATTTTAATAATAGTCTTTAAATTACATTATATAATAATATAATATTATTTTCAATTAATTTGAATACTTTTTATATAATACTCTAAAAGATTAAGATATGTTAAAAAAGATAATTATGTAAAATGAGAATAGACAATTTATATTACAATAATAAATTTAATATTTATATAAAGACATTAAATGATTTATTCAACAAAATCATAAAGAATATTCAATTATTCAAATAAAAATCTAATAAATTGATTAATGAGATAGATTATTAATTAATGATCAATATCTTAGAAGTTCTGATTTAATGAATTCATTCCATTCTTTTTATTTTGAAACATTTTAACTATGATTTGTTTCTTCATCATATTACTTTTCCATTTAAAGATAATATTAAAATGTATCTTAAAATAATTTAGTACATTCCATTCTGTAATTTTTAGTATATTTAAATTTATCAGCTCTACTATTATATATTATTTATACTTTTATTTGAATTCTAAGGCACAAAGACATCCAATCAAATAATGACCAGTTTCATGCTCTAATAATCTATCCCATTTATTTTTTACCCAAGACTTATTGTTGAGACAACACCAACTTTAAATGATTAATCGGTATTTTATATTTTAAGATTTTTTCATTTTTCTCATATTAATGTCAAACGTGTATCCAACTGTCCAAAAACAATGTGCTTTCCAAGGTGATAATATATTTGGAGGTGCTGAAAAGTAAGTCCAATCAATTTTCAAAATCTTTACACCATTAATAGTGATAGGAAGTATTGAATTAAAATCATCATAAGTAAAGTAATTCAAGGGATCTTAAAATGTATTTTTTGAAACAGGAGACACTATCAATCAAATTAGAAACATACTATCAACATAATCATCCTCTAATTTCGAACTACTTTATGGAGGACTAGATGTATTCGAATGACTACAACAAGTTGAATTATTTGAGATGCTTGGTAAATGATGGATTCTGTTACTTAATATAAAATATTACTTTATTTATGATGAGGCTCTTTTAGGAAGACTGAAATTTAATGATTTATTAGTTAATGATTTTTTTCTATTCTCTCTTTATCTAACTGAGCTCATCATTATTAAAAAACCACTAAAAAAATTTTTTTAATAATTTTCTTTAAATTTCAATTAAATTTCTTCATCAAAAAAGATTAATACATAACAAATTATTACAAATATGATTCCTTAAATATTTTGTATTATTCTTTTGAACAACTCAAATTTATAAAGAATTAATATTAAACATAATTTTATAATTATGATAATTAACTAAGATTCTTAGAAGGTTTCCAATATTAATAAGAAAATAAAAAAGAAATAATTAGTTAAGCAAACTTAAAAGATTTAAGAATCACAATAAGAAAATGAATAATAATTACAATAATCTGAGTAGGAAGAAAAAATGAAAATATAAAATCTAGATCAATTGGAAGAATAATCTTAATAAATAAAAAATATGAATACAGCTATTTTGTCAGATAAAAGTTTTAATGATTTCACTCTTTGTGAACCTACTAAAAAAGCATTAGAAAAAATGAATTTCACAAAAATGACACATATATAAGCAAGAACAATTCCACATTTATTAAAAGGTAGAGATGTTTTAGGAGCTGCAAAAACTGGTTCAGGTAAAACTTTAGCTTTTTTGGTTCCAGCATTAGAATTACTCTATAAAAATTAATTTTAATAAAAAAATGGAACTGGTATCATAGTTCTCACTCCTACTAGAGAATTAGCTTAGTAAATATTTGATGTTGCTAAAGATCTCTTATTCTATCATTAAAAAACTCTAGGATTACTTATTGGAGGTGCTAATAGAAAAGAAGAAGCTATTAGATTATAAAAAGGAGTTAATATATTAATAGCTACTCCTGGTAGATTATTAGATCATTTATAAAATACTAAAGGATTTATTTATCATAATTTATAATGTTTAATTATAGATGAAGCAGATCAATTATTAAAAATTGGTTATGAAGAAGAAATGAATGAAATTCTTAAATTATTACCAAGTGAAAGATAAACTGTATTGTTTTCAGCTACTTAAACAAAAAAAGTTGATGATTTAGCTAGATTATCACTTAATTAACCTATATATATTGGAGTTGATGATATTGCTTAGGAAGCCACAGTTAATGGATTAGAATAAGGTTATGTTATTGTAGAATCAGATAAGAAATTTTTACTTTTATTTACATTCTTGTAACTTAATTCAGATAAAAAAATAATGGTTTTTATGTCTTCTTGCAATTCAGTCAAATTTCATGCAGAATTACTTAATTTTGTTGATATGCCTGTACTTGATATTCATGGAAAATAAAAGTAAAGTAAACGAACTAATACTTATTATGAATTCTGTAATGCTAAGAAAGGAGTTTTAATATGTACTGATGTTGCTGCTAGAGGTTTGGATATACCAGAAGTTCATTGGATTATATAATATGATCCTCCTGATGATACAAAGGAATATATTCATAGAGTTGGAAGAACATGTAGAGGACTCAATTCTTCAGGTAAAGCGTTGATATTCTTATTACCTGAAGAAAAAGGATATTTGGCTCATTTAAAATTGGCTAAAGTTGTTATGAATGAATTTGAGTTTCCTGAAGAGAAATTAGCAAATATTTAAGATTAATTTGAAAAGTTAATAGAGAAGAATTATTTTTTAAATAAAAGTGCTTTCGAAGCTTATCGTTCATATTTACATGTATAATTGTTTCTAATATTTTTAGTCATATTAATCACATAGTCTGAAAGATGTTTATGATGTTAATAATTTAGATCTTGCTAAAGTTTCAAAGTCATTTGGATTTAAATGTCCTCCTAGAGTTTCTTTAAGTAATTAAATGTGTTATATATATATATATAGATATTAAGATTGCTAGTTCAACAAAAAGAAAATAAAAAGTTCAATCTTTTATGAATAAAAAGAAACCTGGATAATGGAATAAAAAATAGTAAACAGATGGAAGATAATTTATGAGATGAATGATTTAATATTATTTGTATATAATTATTTATATATTAATTATGATAATAAAACATTTAAACAAATTTATAGCATATTTGGAGTTTAAATCTTTAGTTCTTTTTAATAATGAATATGATATATAATAAAATTGGTTTTCATTTTATTGATTAACTTTAAATTCAACTAATTGTACTTTAATCTTACTATTATTCTATTGAACTATTATTTTGAATTGATTTTTCTGTATTTTCATTTTATTATTAAGTAGAAAAATATTAGAATGAACTACAATTCTTATTTCTTAAAAATGCATTTTATTGATTAATTTATAATTGCAATCCAGGTATATTAAATTGAGATCTAAATTTATTATTATTATTATTAATTACTTTTTATCTTCTATTCCTAATTAATTTTAAGCCATAATAGGTATCATACCTGGTACATATCTAACAAAATTTGATGAATCATTTATATTGAGTATACTAGAACCATTATTTAATAATTCTGGTTATTAATTATTAATTTCACTTCCAAAATTCAATACTATATCATGTTCAACTTTAACAATTTGATTATTTAGATAGTTTTATAATTATTATTTAGTACTCATTATAATAGATTATGTATTTTGATTGTAAAATGCTGGTTGAAGATTTATTAGGTCACTTATATTAAGAGTTTCAAATATTCCTATTGTAAATGGTGTTGTTTAAATATTATGTTATTATTTGGTATGATCCTAATATTTTGGTAAATATTGATGAGCTTTCTATTTCTTAAGAATTGATAAAGGAATAGCTTAATTTTCAGATTTATATCTACTTTTTAAGATATTTAAAAGAGTTGTAATAGAATTGCAATGATTTTTTTTCAGTAAACAATTAAATCTATTTTTAACTGCATTTTCACTTCTTTTAGTCTTTAAATTTTTTGAAATAAATGCCCATTTTCTTTAATGCTTTTTTACAATTTCTAATAATTCTATATCTTCTTCAAGATTCCAAGGATGTCTATTAATATCTGGATTTAAATGATTATTCCATCTTTCTCTACATTACTTTCCTGTTCTTGGAGATTCTTTAAATTATAAATTAAGTAAATTGGCTAAACTACACCATTTATTTTATTTACCCTCTTCTTTACTTTTTCTAAAAATACATAATCAAATTTACTTAATTAAATCTAATAATAATAGATCTTACTCCTCTGTCCAAGGTATTTATTATAATGATAATTTTAATAAATCAGTCCATTTATTTTTACATTATTCAACTGTACGTCTACTTATCAATTATACTACTTCTTCCCATATTTTATTAGGCTTAAATTAGATAAAAATATACAATTTTTCTAATATTAATTCCATCCCTTGAACATATTTTTAATACAACCCAAATGAGAATCTATTTATCATCATCAGTCCAATTCTTTCGTAATTTTGGTGTCCATTATTCATGTAAATCTCTTTGTAATTTATGCACTTCCTGGTCAGTTAATAATTCAGAGATATGAAATTATTCTTATAGAAACCTGAATACAAAAATAGATTACTATAAAGATGGAATCATTATATCCTTAACATTTTCATAGAAATTCTAGAACCTCTAGAAAAATTCCCTATTACTGTCAAATAACTACTGGTCATTTTTTGTCATTGCTACTATCAATTATTTATCGCTCTAATACTTGCTTCATTTTTTTAGGCCAGTTTTTCTAAAAGTTGTTTTTTCTTTCTCCAATTTCTTGTTTACATAATTAAATTTACAAAGTGGAAGATTATTTAATATTTATATTAAACATAAGAACTTGCAAAAATAATTAATTTTAAAGTCTCATAAATATGAAAATATATTAACAGACCATAGAAGTAATATATTATAAGAAAGGAATTCTAAATTCTTGTCATTTTCTAATCATCACCATTTTTTTATATATTATTATTTAATATATATGTATACTACAAAATTGTGTTTAATGAATCAAATTTATTCAAAAAGACATAAAAATGCTTACATAATATAATGTCAAATCATATAAATATTGAACATACATTAATAGTTTAATTTGATTCATTATAATACATATTGATTAACCAAGTATAAATCCTTTGGAAAATTTGGCTGCAAACCACTAAATTTCAATTCTAAACCCCCTTTCTAAAATATTTATTTAAACATTTAATCTGATCTTATTACACTATGATCTTCTGTATCATAACTAAATCCTTATTTTGTAATATTCTCCTTCAAAATTATATATCCATTCTCATTCAAATTTAACTTACATTTTTTTAAAAACATTATTAAATCATCATCTGTTAAATGACTAGCCACCCATTAAATCCAAATACAGTCATATTTATATTGAAATTCAAAACTTTATAAACCAGCACAATAATATTCACATATCTTATCACCAATTTCCTCCTTTGCCTTCTCAACATAAATTGGATTCTATTCAACTAAATCTACTTTCTTAAACCATTTTATTAATAACTCCTTTGAAACTCCTATCATTATTTATATATCTCCTTACTTCCTATACCTGCTCCACAATCAAGGACTCTTAAATCTTAAAGAGGATTCTTGTACAGCATTGTCAACAATTTATTAGATTCCTCTATATCAATCTTATTTAAGAAATCCAATCCTCCTAATACACCTTTCAATGTTGGTTCTATTTTTCTCCAATATTAATCCCCCAAAGAATACCATTTCTCTTTTGAATCTTTTAATTAGCTATCCCATAAAGCTTATATATTTTTAAAGAATTTTCCTTTGTCATCATTTCCACTTTCACTATTCATTTAATTTAATTTTGTGATAAATATTATCAATAATAAAAAACATAAAAATTATGAATGTATAATAATAATAAATCATTATTTATCAATCAAATTTTTATATTTCATTCAGGGTGTTGATATTATTCTATGTATTAGCTAAAATTAATTAAAAATTATAATTATATAATTTAGATTCTCTCTAATTTAATTAATTACAATGAGAAGTATATATTTATATAAGAATTCTTTTTATCATTTTTTACTATAACTTCATCATTAAGAATTGAATTAGTATTTTGAAATTTTGTATAAAATATACTTTTTTTTACAATAAAGTTAATCTTCAAAATAAAAATGATCAATTAAATATTATATTTTAGAAAAATCAATAGGTAATTAGATCTGACTGCATATAATAAATAATCTTCAATCATTTAAAGGAGGGATAGTTTATTTAGTATATTTAGAAAACAATAAGAGAATCAAACCATAATTTTTTTGTAAGTTTTATTATTAATTTTATTAATTAGTCTTCATTTAGAAACATCTAATGATGAAGATTTTTCTTATTATTCTGTGATGTCTGATAATGCCATCTTGGATTTTTCATATCCCATTTTTTTAAAGAAATTAATCCAAATATCTTCTTCATTCGAGATGGTTCTATGCTATAATATATTTAATATAGAATCTAATACATAATCATTATGTAATTAATTTGAATTGACCCAGAAAAAGGAAATTAGGGCTAGATATGGCAAAATGATTATAATTGTTAAGAAACACAATCTCAATAATAATTCAAATGCAATTGTGTTATTTATTGACATCTTCAAACATGGAATCATTTGACAAGGCATACAATTAGGAAATTATAATTCAGAATTGAGTTGTTCCTTTGCAATAAAGTAAATCATTTAGAATATTGTTAAAAATTAGGAAGCACTATATAAAACAATTAGTATTCTTAAATCTTCCCTTTGAGTTTCATTATTTTAAAATGTTTTCATTTATAAAAGTGGAAGATCTTTATAAAGTGGTTAAACTTTATCATCCATTTTCTTTTATAACTTCATACTAAAGATAACTAGAATTGCTGTTACACATCCTCCAACTATTCTCGAGATCTTACTATATTTAACTAGAATTAGTTATTTCTTACAATAGCATTCATAAAAAACTTAATCATCTTGAATCAATTCTACGAGTACAAATATTAAGCCAATAAGCACTAAAGCAAATAAGAACAAAGTAATGTATCTGAATTTTGCTTATGCTTTCTTCCTATCTGTTGATAATTTACTTAATTTAAGACTAACATAATAATAAAAAAAGATGAACACCATCGTTCTAAAGTAAGGTTCTAATTATGTTATGTATTTATTGCTAATGATGAAGGACTCTACTAATAATACTAGAATTTGGTTATCATGATTACTTAGAAAATTTGTTATTATCATGTACAAAATGATGCACTTTTTTGATAATTTCTTAGTTCCTGTTCGATATCTTCTTAGCAATTATAGAATCAGAATAAAAAGCAATATAATAATAATAACACCCAAGATAAAACAATTAGTACATTTCAAAAAGTTTTGTGATGCCCCTCCTAAACAAAATTAATAAAATGGGTAAATGCTTTTTTGAGTTTATTATTCACTCATATATATTAATTAAATAATTAATAATATAACAATCAAGATAATCAATCATTTATTATTAATTAAGTATTTAAAGAGATTAGGATTAAATATTCATCATTATCTTTTTTAAATATGTAAGAATAGTATCTATATAATTTATATATAATTTTAAAAAATTATAAAATATGATTAATCTTGTATATAAAGTGATGCTAAATAGATATCAACATAATTTAATACATTATTCATCATTAAGATTCTATAATCATTTAATTTAATAAAAATAACTCTTTATTTTATAATTATTATGTTTTATTGTAAGTAATTAAGGCTATTTCGATATTAATAATTTAGTACTTTCAAATGGTGTACTTAAATTTTTGATTAAATAGAGAAGGAAACTAAAAGAAAAATAAAGATATCTTTATTTTAAGATGCATTAAAACAAGCAGAAGAATTTAAAATAAAAGAAGAATTTATACGATTTACTTTATGTGATGTTAATTCATAATCCTAATTGATAGAGGCTGCTGTACCAGCTAATGTTCTATACAGTGCAATAGCATAGACTTATAATTTAGAATTTTCTTTAGTTGAAAGAATGTATGGTGAAATCAATTTAATGAACAATTTTGAAGATGTTATTAATTCTCATAAAACAACAAATTCAATATAGTTTTCAAGTTTATTTTAAAAAATTTAAGAGATTTTTGAATTATCTGGGGGAGGATGTGAAGAATAGAAGGAAGTATTGGTTAAAGATTTACTAAGAGTATGTTCTAATTCATTAGAAGTTAAATATTTGATTAGATTTTTGAAGGTAAAAGTAATTTGAAATGTATAGAAAAGAATGAGGATAGGTTTAAGTACATAGAGTGTATCATAATTACTAAATGAGAGTGAAAGAAAAAGATTATTGGGATATTAATCAGGATTAGGAGATTTGTAAATAGGAATTCCAATATAACCTTAATTAGCTAAAAGTTTTTAGAAGGAGAATAAGGAAGATGAAATAACTATGGAGAAAATAAAGAAAAAGTTTTTGAATGATGATTTAGAAGTGTGTTTCTTTGAATATAAATATGATGGAGAAAGATTGTAAGTACATTATACAAATGGTGAAGTTAAATTGTTTGGTAGATCTTTAGAGGAAAAGACAAATCAATTTAAAGAATTATCTAATTAATTAAAAGAGTATTTCAATAATAATAAATTTGATGATGTTATATTAGATTGTGAAATGATATGTTATCATAATGGAGAAATCTTACCATTTTAAGAAATGTAAAATAAAACTTATGAGAATTCAGTATATTTAAGTTTAGTTTGTTTTGATATTTTATATCACAATAAATAAATCCTACTTAATAAAGTTTATTCATAAAGATTATAAATTTATAATTCAATTTTAAAGCCTATAACAAATTAAAGACAAGTGATAAGTCATATTATTTCACATAGATTAAAGAATGAAAATTAAATGGATACATTTTATAAATAAGCATTGGCTGATGGATTAGAAGGAATTATGATAAAAAAAGATACTATTTATTCTCCTGGATCTAGAAATGATTGGCTTAAAATAAAGAAAGAAAAGGATGTTGATTTAGTTGTATTAGGTGGATATTATGGTTAAGGTAAAAGACAATAATGGCTTGGTTCATTTCTATTAGGTATTTATGAAAATGGACGATTACATCCTATAGCTAAAATTGGGACAGGGTTTAGTGATTAAAAATTAGAAGAATTAACAAAGAGATACATGTCTATACCAATTGGAAGTTGTCCTTAACATTTGATTGGTTTTAAAGATCAACCTCATGTTTGGTTTTCATAAAATGATGTTTGGGAAGTTACTTATGATACAGTTTCAGCATCACCTCTTTATCCTCCTTAAAATTCACAATTGAATACAGGAATATCTGTTAGATTTCCTAGATTTAAAAGAGAAAGACCTGATAAAAGAATTGAATAGAGTGGACCAATCCAAGATTTGCTTGAAGAGTATTAGAAAGTTTAGAAGAAAGAATTCTTTTGAGATTTTATATAGTTGTTAATATATATATTAATAATTTTGGTATTGTGGAGGAAATAGGTACAATAATAAAATTAGTAAAAAAATAGTATTCATTTATAATATGTATTTGATGAAACATTAAATAAATATTAAATTTCTCTAAATCTAATTATGAATTCTTAAATCGAAAGAAACTCTGATCTTCCCCGTACTAATGTGATCTTGGTTGTTATAACTAACAAGGCTAATAAAACTTTGAGTCATGATAAATATTTTAAAGTTTTTAGCCCTTTTGGTACCATATAGAGAGTAGTTGTTGTTATATAATTGTTTAGATGCTCATCTTTGAGAGATCACTCACATGGAAAACCTTTGTTGAATTTGACAATCCAGAATCTGCTCTTAAGGCTAGATCACAGATGAATGATAAGTTCTTTTGTGATGACAATACATTATTAATGAATGTGTATGCCAGCAAATTAACTTATATTACATTCCAAGAAAATAATACTGGGGGAGTAGGTATGAGTGTAATTAATTGGTAGATTACACTTAGTTAAGAAAAAAAGAGTCATCACCTCCAAATGAAGTTACATAATCTTCTTCATCCATTAAAACCAATCCAATTTCTCCTTAACAAAACTTCTAATTTTTGTAATCACAAATGTAATTTCAACATCAAATGTCTTAACAAATCTAATAAATCAATTCTCTGATGGGACAATTATAATAGGTTTGTGCAGAAGGCTTTGCTGCACCATTATAATAAAATACAGACCTTTAAAATCAAATAGAAAAGCAATAGTCAATTTTGAAGGATATTTATGATTTTTAACATAAATTCTCAAACCTCACAGACCATTACTAAACCTTCTTATAAGAATATAATTAACTTGATGATTAAAAATCTATTAGCATTTAATCCAGCTAAAATGGTAAATAAAATAGGAAAAAATTAACACTTCCTAATGATAAAAAGATTAAAAATGGGGATTAAATTGAATTCATACAAAGTTATCAAGAAACTGATGTTACTAAAGATGTTATGTTTCATAGTTCTGATAAATTGATTGATTAGATGTAGGTTTAGAAAATGTATTTAAGTGAAGGAAAGAGTGTTGCCAAAGTAGAAGATCTCAATTTCAATGGATTAGGTTTAAGAGATTCAGAAGGAGAAGATGATAATCTTCAAGAATATGAAGAAGAATTATTCTAAAGAGTTAATGGAATTGAAAATGAAAATGATGATGATAATGAATTATTTAAATTAGTTGATTAGAATCAAGATTTTAATGAAGAAAAATAAAAGAACTATAATAAATCAAATCAAGATGTGTAATCTGAAAAAAGTGATAATTTACTATCATATCAAGTTGAAAAATAAACTCAAAAAAATACTATTGAATAATCATCAAGAAGTGTTGACAATATTGATTAATTAATTAGTAAAGGTAAATTCTAATGTTAAAATCCATAAAGTACTTCCAAAAGTCAGACTTTGTAATAATAATAAGAAAAACTTGAAGAATATGTGAATCCACTCTTTTTTAAAGGTTTCTTCATTTATTGATTTTATTTAGCTTTGCGCAAATCTAAAGTCATTTATGCAAGATGGTTCGACAAAAAAGTTGTCACATCCGCTATGCTTTACAATATATTTAGTATTTATGGCAACATAGATAAAATGATATATCTGAAGGAGAGATCAAGTTGTCTTATTCAATATGTTTAGTAGGATCATGCAGCCATAGCTAAAGATGCTTTAAATGATATCATGTTTTATGGATAATAAATCAAAGTATCTAACATTTGTAATTAGATCTTTTTTTCAAATTATGAGGAGATATCTTTAAAGACATAGCCAACAAAACCAGGTGAAATAGCTTTCGATCTTAAAACTCAAGAAGAATATTTTTAGGGAGGAGAAGAAACTCACCGCATCAAACCTGATTCCACTTATACTCTTGCTCCACCATGTGATACAATCTAAGTTTCTAATCTTACAAGAAATTCTTGTCAAAATTCTATAATGTAATAATATATGCAAGATTTTGGATAAATCAAAGCTTTGAAGTATCAAATATTTAATATATAGAATTCTATCTACTGGCAATAAGTATTTATGTATCCTTAAATATGCAACTATTGAGGTGGCATTGACAGTTTTGGCTAAAATGAATGGTTTAGAATTGGATGGAAAGTAATTATATTTTGTTATATAAATATAGACCTATATAAATTAACTTTTCTAAACAAAAATTATGATTGGTTGATTTATCAATTATTCGGATTAATAATACAATATACAACCTACTTTTTTTATTTTCATTAATTCAAATCAATAAAAATGGCAGGAAAATCAGGCAAAGGAATTGGCAAAGTCAGCGCAAAGAGACATGCAAGAAAACCAAACAAGGCATCCATTGAAGGAATTACAAAGCCAGCAATCAGAAGATTAGCAAGAAGAGGAGGAGTTAAGAGAATTTCATCCTTCCTTTATGATGACTCAAGAAATGTCTTAAAGAGCTTCTTAGAAAATGTCGTTAGAGATGCTATCACCTATACAGAGCATGCCAGAAGAAAGACAGTTACCGTAATGGATGTTGTTTACTCCTTAAAGAGATAAGGCAGAACTCTTTATGGCTTTGGAGCATGAATTAGTTTAATATAAACATTAATAATAATTAATTTAAACTCCTTCTTTAGTTGAATAATTGTTCAACTCTTTTTACTAATAATTATATTTTGCAAAATAATAAATAATGAAAGAGGAAACATAAATATTTAGGGTAAAGAAATAAATCTATTATTTTGCTTGGCATTGCTTTGCTCCATATGCATTTTTGGGTTATTTTATGACAATCCCAAGTGCTGCAGAACCATCTTGGCTTAAAATAAATCAAACAAAACATAAATACAAAATTGATTTTAATTGGATGAATGTTGCCTTTTTAATGTACATGCTATAATATTTATTTAGAGGTTATTTGCTCGCAAGTGGTATTGAAATGAAAGGTAATTTGAGATAAATAATGATTAAATGTGAAACTATGCTAATAGTGGCTCTGGTCTTATAATGGTTTCTCCCATTTAGAGAAGGAACACTGATTGTGAGAGTATTCATGGGAGCTTTAATTAATCTAGATATTAAGTACAGCAATGTCTATTTTAAAACTATGATGAAACCAATTGAAGTTTATATTAAGAAAAAATTTCCAGAATAATTAAATGGTAATAGCATCAATATTAATGATAACTAGTAAAAAATTTAGGTCAGTATTTATGTCAATATCAATATATTGCTTTTGGGATTGGATGGATAATTTAGGGATTTATGGCTTACAGTTATCCAAGGATTGAGATGCTAAATAAATTGAAGATTTATGATGATTGTGTTCTTTGGAATTTATTAATCTCTTTACCAACTGTATTTTTAGCAATTAGATTGATTAATTTGCATCTATCATTTAATTATGATGATTTAAAGACTTGTACACCAAATGAGGCTGAATACTTTTTGGCAAACATGTTTAAGAAGGCTAATGTTGAAGAGGTGATAGACATGTATCATGAAAAACGACTTGTTGATAGTAATATTTATTTTTATAAGTAGATGATGAATATGAATTAGATGATTAAAAGACTCTTAAAATCATTTAGATTATCATGTATTCAAGTAGTACTATGATGTTGGTATTTTTTATGAATCGTTTAAATCTTGATACTAATGGAGCTATTTATTAATCTATGGCTTTCCATTCCATTATTTTTGCAATAACAATGATATTAGCTAATTACTTGCCTTGTAGATTATTTTACAAGGTTCCATAATTGTTATTGTATAGATTAAGTTTGTTTATGAGTATTATTATCAATTTAGCATTGGTGATAAGTATTCAAATTTAATCTTATTATTTTATCTTGATCTCTTGTATTTTGACAATAGTTAGTAATGGATTAGGTTTATTCTCGTTCACTAGTAGCTACAATTATGTAAATATATTTATGTTAATATTATCAGTTTGTTGATGATTTTATGCCAATCCAACTAAGTTAAGGTTTGAGTTTAGCAGTTTTAGTTGGATTAGAATTTGTAATTCGTGAATAAGTTTTTGGGTTAAGTCTTATGATAACAACCATATTAGGAATATTTATATGGAGAAGAGTGTAATATTTAATAGAATAGGAGGATGAGGATGAAGATAATGCTAAATTGATTATGTGATATAAGAGTGTATTAAAGAGATGTTAAATAATTTACATTAGATAAACAATAAATTAATTTTTAATTAAATCTTTTTCAAATGAAAACCCATATAGAAGTGTCAAGTCAAAGAAGAAAGGGAAGAAGAGCTTAGCTTGGTGCTCCATCTAATATTAGATATAAATTAATGAGTGCTCATTTATCAAAAGATTTAAGAAAAAAATATAATGTTAGAGCATTACCAGTTAGAAAGGATGACGAAGTGACAGTGGTTAGAGGTATGAATAAAATAATAAGGAAAGGCACTCATAAGGGAACAAAAGGAAAGGTATCATCAGTGTATAGAAAGAGATGGACAATTTAGATTGAGAAATTGACAAGAACCAAAGCAAATGGTAGATATATAAATATAATAATAGGAATGCCTTATTAAATACCAATCAGAGCATCATAATGCATCATCACTAAACCATATTTAAATGAAGACAGAAAACAGTTGCTTGCAAGAAAGGCATCAGCTAAAGTTTCAACAAAAGGAAAGGGTGAAAAGCATACAAGTGAAAGTACAAAGAAGGCTGATTGAATTTGATAAATGTTGTAGAGAATTAATTATGCATAATAATTTAGATATTAAGTTTATAATTTGCATCATTAATTTCGACTTGGGGATCTGTAAGGATCTATACTAGCATCTTCTCTTCTTTTATCCCAATCAACAAGGAATCCTTTGATATTCATATTAAATTTATTCAATTCAACATCCTATATTAGAAATCAAAAAATTACATGGTGAAATTTAAAGTTAAAAGCATGTTTTTCAGCTCTTTCAATCATTAATTTAGTTGTTTCAGAGACTTATACTCTTCCTTCAACTCCACTACTTTCCATTTTATTAGCAATAGAAACATCTTTTCCATAGATATCATATCGAACAATGTCAGTTCCTATGATACCTCCTGTTACTTATCCAGTATGTATACCAATTCTCATATTCAATTTATCAAATTTGATTTTCTACCTAACAGACATAATAATGTCGACCATTTAGAATCCCATTTTTACAGTATTAATGGCTTCTTAAATAGGCTAAATAAATGGATAAGAGTAAATACATTTCGTTTTGCACTATTAGTGAATCCCATAACAACATAACAATCACCTATAGTATACATTTTATAGACATTATATCTTTGACATAGTTTATCAAATTCTGTGAAAAGATTTCTTAACATAGTTACTACACCTTCAGGAGTTTGAGTATGGGAGTATTCAGTGAAACCTTTGATATCAGCAAATAGGAGAGTCACATCATCAAATTCATCTATTAAGTCACTTTTATCATAGATAGAACTGTTCTTCATTTTAAGATAGGAATGCATAGGTAATAATTAACTGACTAGATTTATTTGTTTGACTTTCTTTTCTTCATTAATTTATAAATTATTGAACATTTAAATTTATTCACTCATTGCAAGATAATATCCTAATAATAGAATGAGCATGCAACAACAAATATAAAAGATTGCATAATGAGTAATTAAATCAGTAGAAATGTAGAATCCTAAAAATAATGCAAGCATGATCATCATATATAGTATTACTTACAGAAATGAAAACATTTTCATTTAACAAGAAACTATCATTATGTAAAGTATTTCTAATAGACAAATTATTGCTACTTCTCTATTGTCAGTCAAATATGCCTAGAAAAGTACAGTAAAAATAGCATAAATAATTAAGATATAATACATAGTATTAACTACTCTATTTCTATAAGCTTTGGATAATATTGGATATAGTACAAATACTAAAATCAAGAAAATAGCCTATATATATATATAAATTTATTACTCTCAAAACAAAGATCAACAAATCATGATCAAACAATTTACGAACGATTATTGATAATAGAGTAATAATGAAATAAGTTTTCCATAAAAATATCATACCAACTCTAGATTCATATATATTTTATTCCTTAAGAATTTGATTGAAATTAGATTTTATTTCATTCTCTGGTATATCAAGAATAATATTTGGTTTAATCAACTCTAACTCTCTATCTTCTTATTCATTTGTTATTAATAATGAATCTTCAGTTAATACTTGTTCTGATATTTAAACTGGAATTGTTAATCTAGATTTATTTTCTTCTAAAGCTGAACCTTATGGTATTAACATTGGCATTGTTTATGGTCCTTTAGGAGATATTTCTACTTTATTAGATTATTTTTAATTATCCTAGTAAATTGAATTATGTAATTATGATAGAAATTCCCTTTACTTTTTCGTTTTTGAAATTCCTTTTTATCGTACTTCTTTCACTACAGTCTTTGTACAATTCTACCATAATTAAAATGCTTTTGGTATTTAATAACCTATTGGTTTTGTTTTGAATACTTAATAAGTATCAATAATTCCTAAACCTTTTGCTTCCTTTTATTTCTTCTCATAGTATTTAATTCCATGTTTTGCTTATTTAAAAGCCTATTCACTAAGTGTAATAGCTCCTGTATCTCCAGTTGATCCCACTCTACTTGTTTAATTGACAGGATCTCCTATCAATGAAAATTATGGTTTATGATGACCAATAACTCCTGCAATTACACGTCCAACATGTATACCAATTTTCATTTCAATTTGATTACCTTTTCCATACTTTCTACCTTATACTTATTACATCATATCAAAAGCTAAATTAACTAATCTCATAGTTTTCTCAATTCTTGTTACATGAGCAGTCATATTTTATTCACATGCTTTAATTCCTGTAGCAGCCATATATGTATATCCAACAGTTTCAATTTTTTGTACTCCATGTTGAATACATAAATTATCATATAATCTAAACAATGAATCCAACATTAAAACTACATTTTTACCTTCCTCTTTCATTATAGTATCAAAATCACAAATGTAAGCAAATAATATTGAAACATCATCTTAAGCTTATTACATTGAATATATCCCTGTAGATATCTATTATCTCACAAATCTAGGAACTAATATACTCAATATATCTTAGGCAGCTACATTATCTTATTCAATTTAATATTTTGCTAAGTAATCATTTCTTCTATGTTTTATAGATTTGAAATAACTGAATAAAAATCTTATTGTAATACTCACAACTAATAAAATCTAAGTGCTGGCTGCATATACAGATACTCTACTTTGAGAATAAGTTCCATTAGATGTACTAAGATCTGTTGAAATAACAATTATCAATATTCTTACAATAAGTTAAATCAAATAACAGATATTATATAACATTATTGGTATCACACTCATATTCATTGAATTAAATGTACTAAATAATATCACTATAGTAGCAGATAATGTTATAGTCAAATCATCTGATAACCAATCTATTGCTACTTTTATTGCAAATATAATCAAAACTATAAGATGTGAGTATGTATAATATTATTATTCCATTATATGACTACAAGAAAAGAGTATTATAATAAATATAATTCCAAATACTACTAAATAGTATGCTCCTGTAAATACTCTCTAATCTGTCATAAAGAAGTCTGTTAAACAATATGCAATATAGTATAATAATAGAATACATAAGAATAATCTTAAATGTTTTAGAGATTAAATTAATTTATGAGCTAAAAACTTTTATTCTAAAACTAATTCTTTCATTTCAAGTGTTAGAGGTTTCAATTTCATTTCAGTTACTTTTGTATCACCTGGATTCAACATTTCTTAGATATAAGGTGAAGTTGTTGAACAATCAATAAATACCTTTTATATTATGGATGAAACATTACTATAATTTAATAATAATTAATAATATTTACATTTATAAATCTAAGCATTAATTTAAAATCTTTTTGTTTGTAATTAATTCCTACTCTACACCACTTTTATTTTTAAATGCAAATTATTAATATGCATTTGGAAAGTATAACAATTTTATAACATCATGTAAAAAGTAATTAATAAAATAACAACCAATAAGACTAAATATCATTGCAACAATACTATTAAATCTTGTAAATAATTGATATGTCAATTCCTAATAATCATAATTACTAAAATCTCCTCTATAATTAAGAAAAACAAATCCAACTAATAAACCAAAAGTGAATAGAAAAGCTATAACAACAACACTTACATTATTGCAAATCAATCTAAATAATACTTTTAAAGATGACACAGTAATAAGTATATAGATTATTGATGTTGCTACCATTTACATATCTGATTAATAACCATCATTTGTCCATGCATAATTAACCATGTAAATACAAGAATATAATGTGTAAGCAGCACATAAGATTGACTCTAAAAATCCTTCAATCAAATAATTAAGCCAGAATCTACGTGTTCTTATTTAACCATCTATATAAAATGCAGGAAATCTAGCATTTACTAATGGTTCTGTCTACTTATCAGCTAAACCTATGACTAAAGCATTAGGAGTAGTATATAAAAAAATGTATAAAAATACTGTCATTGAATCATGTAAGGATGTAGCTGTAAATTGACAAAACCAATTAAAAAAGAATAATGTCATACCTAAGAAACCAGCACTATAAAATAAATAGATGATCATTGATGATACTCTTTCACTATGCAATTTACATTTCTATAATAATAATACTTTGATTTCAAAAAGTGTATTAACACTAATATCTCCTGCATTCACTTAAGGATAAATATGATTTCTTTTGCTGTTTATTATTTCAATACTTATATTTGCAGCTTACATCATCAATGCATCATTATATCCATCACCTACTCCTAAAACTGTAGGATTGTTTGGAAAGTAATTACGAATTATCATACAAGCTAATTCTTTTTATTAAGGATTCATATTAAATCCAATTAAATTCTTACAAACACATGATAAGAATCTAAAATGACTCATTAAATCAGGTGATTCACTTATCAAAGATAATGAATGTCCATTAACCACTAAAAAAAATTTTAATACTTATTAATATAATGCACCTTCAAAAAATGTCACACTTGTTTTTATCATACTTCTATTTGTAATATTCTCATTCAAATGCTTATCTTATTATTTCTCTTGTAATTTTTAGAGTTCACTTTAAATTTGTCCTATAGCTGTATTAATTTATAACCATATCTATTCTTTATCAGTTGCAACAATTCTCAAATATTTTGATGCCTCCATCATTTCTAATGATTATGCACAACTAATTGTTTAAAATTCCTAATCACCACTCAATAACCAAATATCAATATTACAATCTTTAACTGTTTTAATGAAATCTAAAGCATCATTTTTTAATTCTTCTTTAAATCCTGTCATTCCCAAAATATTTAATTCTTTCTCATATTCTAATGCTAATTCCTCAAGAAGTGTATCTTGATTTGTTAAAGAACTATGTAATAGATTAAATTATTATTTATAACTCTCTGTTTCTTTTTCACTCAAAACTCTAGTAGCATAAATAATCATTCTAATTCCTCTCTATTTATAATGTTAAATATAAGAGTCTAATTCTTCTCTTTCTTTATGATTTAATTACAATTTTGATTTTATTGCTTCATAATCTCCTTTACAAATTAATAATGAATTATTTTTTGATCCTTCTCCACATAATTAATTAATTGCTTCATGTTTTTATTTTAATTCTAAATCCATAGTCATAGGAGCCTAAATGACAACAGAATTTAAATTTCTAGTGTATGTAAATAAATTCAATCCTAAAACTTGATACCATATAGGATTTCCTCTTACTTTACATAAATACATATCAGGACTATCAAATTTATTGAAATTTTCTAGTGAATAACCACAAGAACGAGCAAATGTTAATGCAATTTCTTCACTTTTTGAGAAGGATTCATAAGTAATAGAATCAGCACCAAATACTAATCTAGCTTCATGACATAACATTAAGCATTTCAAAAAGGCATCATAATATAATGTATTTATATCTTCAGTTTATATGTATTCTTATTAAGGAGAACTATTTCTTAATTGATTCACTAATTGAATGAATTCATCATTATTATTTCCTGGACTATTTCTTGTTTTTGGTTATGGTAAAAATATTCTAGATTATAAGAAATCATTTAAAGGTTATTAGACTGAGCTCTCTAAATTATGTAACATAGTCATTCTCTTATTTTATGGTAAAGCAGTTATCTAATTAAAAACTGGATTATTATTTGATGTTTTTACACTTTTCAATAATAACTTACCACTTGGTTAAACATCAGTATGACTACTCTTTTTATCATATTCAAATGGAATCAAATATTCATTATTATCATTAATACTAGCAAATTTAATTGGATCTTCATTTTCTTCTGGTTTAACTGATTTTGAATTTAAAGTTGTTTATAATTAATCATAATTTAAAGTAAATGACAATGAACCAAATAATAGATTATCCAATTTGTAATAAGATGTAGTTAAAGTGCCTGTTTTATCAATTAACATATAATCAACATGTCCTAAATCACAAAGATTGTTAGAACTGTTTATTTTAACATACTTAATAATATTATCTTCTATTTAATTGATCTCATATTTAAATAAAGAAATAAAATTTACAAAATCTAATAATAGATAAAGAGTAGATGGAATTAATTGAGCATATAGTATTGCCAATTAAAAGACTTTCATTCCATTAGTAGTATTAGGATCAATTAATAATGCAAAATTACCTTCATCTGATCTTGCCAATAGAACTATGATTGATATCAAAGTAAAGAAGAGTGATAAGCAAGCCATTAGAAATGAATAGAAATTGCATTGTTTTTCTTCAAAACTATGTTTTTATGCATTGTAATGACTACTTTACATAGTTTTTGTATTTTCACCAACATATACAACTAAACCAAATAACCATGATGTTTATTTTATCTTAGTTCCTTTAGGGATGAAATTGTCAATAGTTAATTCTTCATTTTTTGGATCCTTCTTTAATTTTAATCTTCCATGAAATCTTTCAGTATTTCCATTTGGTGCTTCATATTCCAGTTTTCCTGTTAACATTTTTCTATATTCTGGAAATTAATTTTTTAATCTTGTTCTTAAGACTATCAATTATGTTAAATATGATGATTTCTTCTTTGTTAAAGTAGATTTGCCATCATAATATTAAGTGTCAACCATACAGATTGCTTCTCTATCTCTAACTTATCCTGTATCTAATAAGATCATATCTGCAGGTACAATGTCTCCTTTTATAAGATATAGTATATCTCCAATTTAAATGTCACTCCATTTTATAGTTTCTATTGAACCATCTTTGGCTCCTCTAGATGTTGTTTGCATATTTATTTTATGATCATGACTCTATCTACGTATGTCTAATATGAATTCCATTAAGACATAAAATATCACACTCAATCCAATAGGGAATATAGTGATCCATCTATAAAATGGAGATAATGTTGGATCAATCAACATTATTAAGGAAATCCCTAAAAGATAAATATTTCCAAATCTTTCCAATGCATTGAATAATGTTTTAGGTAAAAAGTTATATAACTAACATTATCATGAACATTACTTTATATTTTCTAGTATTGAAAATGTTTTTGTTTTAAGGTACACTCAATAATTGAACATTTCCCTTATGTAATTCCATGGTTATCATCTATGAATCACTTCCATAACAGAAGTTTAAACATTCACGGAATCTTCTCAACCATGTCTCTACTATTTAGTGATGGTTATAATTCATTTATTAATTTAAATGTAATAATCAAAAGCTGCATTGGAAATAGGTGGAACATTTATTTAAGTTGGTATTGGTACTAAATTAGATAACAAATGGACATTAACTAATAAAAAGACATTTGATACAAGAGATCCAGAAGATACTATAGTTGATCTAGTCACTTATTTACAATAATTTCAATTTGATTCAATTTAAATAGCATCATTTGGTCCTTTATGTTTAAATAAAGATGATCCACAATATGGATCTATTACATCCACTCCTAAACTCAAATGGCAAAATTTCCCTATTGCAGCTAGATTATCATAATCATTAAAGAAACCTTTTGCAATTGACACTGATGTTAATGCCTGTGCTATGGCTGAATTTATGTTAGGTAATCATAAAGTAAGATAATCACTTGCTTATATTACAATTGGAACTGGAGTTGGTGTAGGTATAATAGTGAATGGACAATGTGTACATGGAATGTTACATCCAGAAGGAGGTCATATTTTAGTTGCTAAAAAGGAAGAAGACAAAGATTTCAAAGGAGTTTGTGCATTTCATGGAGATTGTTTAGAAGTACTATAATATATATATGATATCATTAGGGATTATGTACAAATGTTGCAATAGCTAAGAGATTGAATTGTTCTATTACTGAATTACCAAATGTTAGTGATGATCATCCAATATGGGAATTGATAGGATTCTATTTGGCAGAAGCATGTCAAAATTTATTATATCTATTGTCTATAGAGAAGATAGTATTAGGAGGAGGAGTTATGAATAGAAAACTCTTGTATCCAATTATTGATAAGCACTTAAGAAGTTTAGTCAATAAGTATGTGGAAATACCAGAAAATTACATTGTGGAACCAGAAGTAGAAGATGTTGGATTAATTGGTGCATTATTATTATAATGATAATTTATCAATTATTTTGATCTCTTCTATATTTCTTAAGGTTTATATATATAGATATGAAATTATTTAATAGGTAAATAAATATATAATAATATCATTTAGTTTCAGATTATTTTATAGTAGTCTTTTCCAAATTGCTTTCTGGTTATTAAACTTATTTTGATACAGTATCATCTAATTTTGTTATTTTCTTAATTGGAACTTATTTTTATCCAGATTCATAGTAGATTGATTATTGCATTGGTATTGGTTGCATTTGTTTAGTTTAATATAATGGTTATGGTTGATGATAAGTTTAATATAAAACTTATGGTTATCTTGGAGAACTTAATATTTTTGATTAAGGTGAACTCAATATTTATTGTTGAGGTACATAAGTTTATGAATAAACAAGTTTAGTTGGAGACATTTATCGTTTTTCTTGATAGAATGGAATCAAGTTACAAATTTTATCTCTAAATTAATCTATTACTTATTTTAAATCATTCCAACTTGGTCTTGCATTTTCTTCAATTTATAATAGTTCTCTTACAAAATTTGTTAATAATTATGAATAACCTGATCTCTTTACTTTTTATAATTTTGAATCAACTAAATGTTATAATATACAACCATTCTAAAAATCCATGCAATCATAAGATTCTTCTAAAAGTAACACTTCCAATAATGTCATTCCAAATGAAAATACATCACTTTTATATTCATTATGTTATGCTTTAAAATTCATATTTCTATAATTATTTAATAATGTAGGTGATAAATAAGCTCTATCCTTACTTAATAACATTTTCTGAAATCCATGTTAACCACCAGGAAAATAATTATATTCTGCCAACTTTACACTTCCATTCTCATCCAAATATATGTTTTATGGTTGAATATCTCCATGAACTTATTTCTATTCTTCCAAAAATGCCAAAGGATCTACAATTTATTATATTAATAGCCAAATATGAGATTCAGGATATCTCTTAAGTGATTATCTTCTCTTTTTCAATTCACTTTCTAATGTGTCTGGAAAATATTCTGAAACAACTATCACTTAACTGGAATCAGAACAAATTGATTATTCATTACAAGTACGAACAGCCAGTAATTACACTAAATTAGGATGTACAAAGATTTTCCTCTTTCTTAAATGGTTTGTTATCTGTGTTAATTCAGTATCACTTTTTGTTTAAAATTTCTTAATACAAATCATAGTATTATTCTAATTATAACAGCTTAATTACTTAATTGTGATTGTACAACTTTACTTATCCAAATTAGTTGTGATCAGATTCTCTTTCCTTTGAATATTGTAGTAAAAACATTTGGTACTATTATTATGTCTTCATTTCATTAGTATCACTTTAATCAGCTCCCATTAACGAATAAATTAAATTAATATCATTAAATAAAAGTTTTATTTCAAACATTTTAAACTGTAAATTATATATAATACATAGACATTCATTTTGAATTTCTATACAAATTTAATATAAACATTTAAACTTATTAGATATAATAAAAATATAATTTATAGTATTAAATGAATATATATTTTATAGAAATATAATTCTTCAAATTTTTTAATAATTTATATTAAATTACCATATAATGAATTAGATATAATTAAATGTATTATAAAAAACTAAATCTAATTTAGAGATTAAAAATCTATAACAATTTTATTTTATAATTCATATTATTTTTAAGAAATTTAATATCTATTTATTATATATATATATAACATATTCAATACACTCTGGCCTTTTCATCGAAATCTTATTCAAATTAATTATCATACATTAAATCTTAACCATTTCCGCTAAAATCTTCATCTTCATAATAAGAAAAAGTAAATGTACTAGATCCTATTGAAGACTATATAATAATTTAATTATTATTTACTGAATAATTTTCAGAATGCACTAACTTTTATTCACTATTTGAAGTATCAGAATATTCAACATCCATATTTTGATTTCCTTCTTATAGTTATTAATTCCCATTCTATTGACTATGACCAGAATTATAAATAATTTGATATTTATTCTGTCTACCCAACAAATGTTTTTAAATATGTGAATAAAATCTATTTTTCACCATATTTTCCTACATCATTAAATAATTTTACAGATCTTCCCTTTAAATGAGATGCTACAACACTCCATTTTGCACCATATTAATTATAATATTTGACAATCTCCTAATCTTCTTATTCTGTCCATGGTACAAAATTAAGTGCAGGATCTAATTTATTGAGATATCTTTCTCTAATTTATTTCCCTGTCCTCCCTTAAAAATGTCTAGCCAATTTAGTCCAATTCTTTCCCTCTTAAACTACCAATTATACTAATTTTGCATCTTCATCTTAAGTCCATTTTTATTTATTCTAAATATTATTATTTTTAAATTAACTTAAATAGGATTTATTCTTCTCCATCGCTAAGAACATTATGAAATATTTCGTTCAGGCATAAACTAAATTATTTTACTCCAATTTCCTTAATATTCTTGATACAATTTTCTAAGACGTTGATCCTCTTCAGGTTACCAAATTTTTACAACTCTTTTATCTCCATCTTGTTTCTCTTTTGTTTTAGTTATTTTCTTCTTTAAACCTTTCTCTACTTTCTCTTAAGATTTGGAACTATTATAAAATAATATTAATATCCTCTTACCGCATTACTTAATGATCTTTCATTTAATAATGATTTCCTCTATTGTCATCTATCATTTAATATTCAAACTAATTCTCTTAAATATTGTCTTCTTCGAAACTACTCTTTTTTTATTATTATTTTTCTTCATTTAATTATAGATAATTATCTGTAGGTGATCCAATTGATGATGTAGGCTTGGATTCTTAAAAATTTCAATAATTTGTGCTACTTATTAGTTCATTTATTGCAGTTTTACCAATGTCTAACTCAATTCTTCTTTGTTCTAAAAATTGTTCCTCTTGACTTTTATTGCTATTTTGTGATTTTGTATCCTTTTCATCTCTTTGCCGTTTGGAACAGCAAAAATTAAATACAAGGTCTAGAAACATCTTTTTGATGCTTTACTTGTTATTTAATAATTTATTAATTACTTGATTCTTACTAATTATATATATATTTGTTTGATTTAAATAAATTGTATTAATAATTGCATTATTATTTCTAATTTCTATTAATATAAGGTATTAATTATAATTAAATAAAATATAATTGCTATGAAACCAATGGAAGAGGATTTAATAAATTAAAAAAATATTCGTGAGAAGACAGGATTACCAATAAGAAGATTTTATTCTGTTAAAATTAAATGTTTAATATGTTTGGATGATTTTGTAAAAGATGATGAAATTTTCAGAACAAATTGTGGAGACACCTTCCATAAAAATTGTATTTAAGAACTTATTGGAAACTGTTTGAAAGAAAGATATTAATAACTTTTTTGTCCATCATAAGGCTGCAGTAATATTTGTGATTTAATTAATAAATAGAAGAAAAATTATCAGCATCACTTTTGCCCAAATTAGGATTCAATTATCAACAAATTAATATCTATTTTAGTGCATAATTAGAAGAATTAGTACTTAAGCATTAAAATAAATTCTCATGTTGTCCAACACTTGGATGTTAAAACATATTTATCATTAATTAAAAGGAATCACCTTAATTTTATTGTGAATTTTGTGATAAAAAATATTGTTTAAGATGTAAATCAGATTCACATCCTTAATTCACATGCGAATAATTCTAATAATCAAAAAATAAAGAAGTAAAAAATCAATTTATATATAATAATTATAGAATAATGAAAGAGAATTTAAGAAATTAGTTGAAAATATGAATTGTAAATAATGTACAAATTGTGGAGCTTGGATATTTAAAGAGAAAGTAATAAAATTATATGAAATTAGGGATGTAATCATATGAAATGTAAATGTGCATATGAATTTTGTTATAAATGTGGACGAAAATATAGACATCCAGATTGCAAATGTCCCTTATTTGACCGAGACAATTTACCATAACCTTGAAAAAATTACATATTATTGAAATATATTAATTATTATTAAAAATTGATTTATATTCTTTATGGGTGAAAATATTAATTGTTTCTAATTTAAGAGCTACAAAGAAGATGAGAATTTCTTGAATTTAATTTAATATATAATAATTGATTTTTTTTAATTAAAAATATATTTTGATATTATAAATTAACTTCGATATTAAATTGAAGGTGAGAAGTGAAATAAATTTAAAATTTCAAAAGAGAGGACTAGCATAACATAATTTAAAATTAATTCAGCAACCAATAAGTTTAACTTCTATTATAATTCCAATGTAAAAATAATTATAAATTTTGATAATTTCAATATTCATTCCTTTAAATTCGTCATTTCGTTATGCTGCTTTTTTATGATTTAATATAACTTTTCCACATCTTTTGAAATACAATCAAATTCTTTTGTTTATTGTCCAAACTTCTCTATAAATAGTAATTTATTTATTCATACTTTTGAGTTGTTAAACTTCCAAATAAATGGCATAAGAAAGTTAACTTAAGGATTTTTATTGTAAGCCTGGAGTCTATCCATTATGAGTACAGGATATAGAATTAGGTTATTATTTCTTAATAGTAATTTTTCCAGAACATGCATCAATTAAAACAAAGACATTGTTGCAAAGTATTTTTCTCTTTCTCTTTCTTTAAGTAGAAAAAAAATTAGCTGAGTCATTGAAGTAATTTCTGAGTATATGTTTTGCTGATGAATATTTAACCTTATGGAGAATAGCAGCCTAAAATAATTAATTATTTTCAATTCTTCATTACCTAATAAATTGGAAGTCGATCATTAACTACACTCAATATTAACTTTGTTTTTATCTCCTAATCAATTGCTTTTCTTTATTTAGTTTTATCCTTAGTTTATTCTAAGATAAGAACAGGATTTTATTCCATTTTCAGAAGTATTAAGAGTTATTAAAAATACTCTGCACATTTAAGATTTGGTTAATGTGATATATATATATATATATATTAAGTAAGTAGAATGATTGGATTTTATACTTTTTTTGTATAAATTACAAGAGGAAATTTGGTCAAATTTTAGATATATAATTGTGGATTAATTCATTTTTGAAAGGTGTTTTAAATTTATTGTGTAACTACTTTGGGCTCAAGAATAATTTTTTGTAAATTAATCAATTGAATAATAATAAATTTCAAAGTCAACTCACTTCATCTTAAAAACATTCAAATATAAGTTCTCCTTATTCATTTTCATATTCTCTAATTCTATCCTCTGTTTTTAATTCATTCAATTCAACTGTTTCTGAATTATCTAATGATGTATCTTTTGGATGAAACATATGAGCACATAAATCTAATACTGTTTTTTTGTCTATCTCAGCTGCTTCATTCTCTAATCAATTCATATTTATAATTATATACCTGTATTTATTACACTGTAATATTCAACAAATTCACTTATTCTCTCAACAAATCTACATTCTTCCATCTATTTTGCAAAGTTCTCTTTACTCAAATAAGATAAACAAATTAAAACATGCATTAATACACTTACTTATATTTAATCCTTCATGAATTTTAACAGTTATTCCATAACCTAATGAGCAAATTTCCCTTATTTCTCAAGATATTATAATGTATATGGAGTATGAATTACATTTGCTAATGTAGCAGATGCAAAATCAAGACAAAATATATGTATTTTTGTATTTATTGATTTTTGTATTAATTAGATGATCCATTATATCATTTCATTATGAACATATGTTGGTATTACAGTATCTTTTATACTAGCTTTTTATAAAATTGCTAAACAAAATCTTTAAGTAACAGAACCATTTTCTTATTCTTTCAAAATTTTTATTATTTTCTCTATAATTATCATATTACCATTATATGTTAAATATTCTACACCTCTTAAAGTACTACTTATTACACTTATTAAACTTGTAATAGCATGTCTTAGACTCTAATTATTAATATCTAATAAATGAACAACAAAATCAAATTTCTCTGTTGCTTCAATATTAAATACATCATTTCTAATTAATTCATAAACTAAATTCTTTCTCAACTCAGGTGCTATTTATAATGCATTTACTCTTAGAGATAATAACACTTCAATCATTCCATCTACATGTTTATCTTGAAAGTTTTTAAATAGTTTTGTTTTATGTTCATGCATAACTTATTCAGTAATTAATTCAGTTCCTTCTGGTTTACCTTCATTGATTATCACTTTATGATACTTTCCTAATTAAATTTTATAATTCTCTAAAGTTTCACTTAAGTTCTCATTCTTGGCTGTTTCTTTGAGAGAATGTAATAATTAAAGTAGATTGATACTTACAGAGAAGATTTGTCTTCCAGCTTATAGGATTTATTAATATTTTTTATTGAAAGCTTTTTATTCCTTTTCCAAATTAATTTCTCTTTTAGTTTTTGTATTGTCACTCTTAAACAAATGAAATAATCTTGGAGCATCATCTCCTATTTATTTAGATTATTATTATTTATTAAGCATCTAAAAGTAAGAATTATGGAAATAAGTACTTTATTAGAAACTTATTTGCTCTTGATTTCAGCTTCAAAACATTCAAGAGTGTTTGAAAAAGATGAATATCTAAGATACTCTTTAATGTATTCATTGATTTCATTTTAATCAGGTTGAATAGAATTGGGCAAATTTGAATTTGCAGATTTCATTAATATAAAAATATCAATAAATACACAATTTCATAAGTTTACTAAATAATCCACTTAATTAATTTAAATAATTTTATATTCAAGATTTGTCTTTAGTTAATAATTAAATCTTATTATTTAAAGATACTTTAAATTCTATATTAGATTTCTAAGATTTATACATGTTATTTTACCTAATTTAATAATATATTTATAATCCTTAAATATTAACTTTTATTTAATATCCTCTCTTCAATATCTGTCTTAAAATTAATCATATTTTATGAATTTGAATAATTGTTAAAACTTATCTTTCCTAATTTATCTCATTCTTTTTTTATATTAAAATTTTGAGTATTATGAATGTAGACTTTATTATGAAATATCTAAATTTTTGTGTAAATTATATTTAATTTCTTTTCATCATCATTAGTATTAGATTAAACAATTTATTATAAATAATGCTCTCCTCTTAATGAACTAATCAAATTTATACTAATTCTTCCAAATCAGCAGTCAATTTTTTTTATTTTACGATTTATACATGTTGTTATGATCTAAACATATTGTTAAACTTAACCATTTCTTATACTTTATATCCAATCAAACTCTTCATTTCATTTTAGAATTATTTCATATATTCTTCTTGTTATAATATTCGTTTTATTCTCTCTTTACATCATACTCAATAATTGCACTTATTTATCTATTTCTATTTCATTTATTCTTAATTAAGAGTATAGAAATCCATATCATATTGACATACCTCCAATATTTCCTTGAATTATATAAATTCCATATTACTTATTGTATCTGATCTGAAATTAGATTCAACAAAGTTATTGAGTAATAGTCCAAATAATATCCCTTAAAGAATATAGAGACATTATGAATTGAAGATTTGTTATTATTTAATCCTAATTAAGATTGTTTAAATATAGTGGACTAAATTATTCTGATTGGGGGAATTCAAAAGAAAATGGTTTAATGAGATGTTTAATTGAACTGTTATTTTATTGCATATTTATATTAATGTAAATGAATGTGTGTTAAGAATAAGCAAAGGAGCGGGAGTTGAAATTAAAATGAAGAATAAAAAGACAATCTCTTGAGGAAAGTTTATAAAAAATATTTTGCATATTATAATATATTAGTAATTAAGTTAATAGCACTTCTTTTGGATTCACAGTTTTAAATTATTTGAAATAATTCATAGACATACTTAATGGCTAGTGAGGAAGAAGTAAACATTGAGGATGAAATTATTGAGGAATCATAAGTAGAAGACAATCCAAAAAAGAAGAAGGACAAGAAAGATAAGAAAATAACTATGAAGCTAGACTAGAAAAAGCCAATTGATGGTAAATAACAATTTGGTGACAAATCTATATGTCGATTATGCAAAGTGACTACTCAATCCACTCCAACTATAATCTGTATAAGGTGTCACTTTAAATACCACAAGGAATGCATACGAACTTAAAACAAAGAGCCATAATTCCAGGAAGGTACTAAATGGTACTGTCTCTCATGTATAGAGAGAATGGCCAAGAGAAAATTGAAAGAGTCGGAACCATAGAAAAAGAAGAAAACTAGTCAAATCCCTGAATTCTTTTAGAAAACCTTATAACCACAAGAAGATAAATTGAAAAAACACACAGAATTTCAATAAAAATATCCAACCTATGTCTAATAAGGAAGAGTAATTTTTCCAATATTTGATGAATATCTGACAGCATATCAATAATTGTTTACCATAGAAATTAAAAAGAAGCCTATTCTCCAACTTGATCCAACAATTCCCCAGAACCTCTTTGAAGATATTCTTAAGATATGGGATAGTTATAATTATATGGATAAAATTGTTAGTGACATTCTCTATGCAGGAGAACAGTAAACTGAATGTATTACTATACATAATATAAAAAGAGTAAAGTTAAGTTAATAACATTGGTACATTGATTCATTTCAAAGACAATCACACACCTTATAGTTAAAAAACTCGCTTAGAGATATATAATATAATATAAACAAAACCTGAAGAATTGATCCTCTTCTTTTGTTACTTCTATCTTAAATAAATAATTGAGGATTTAGATTAAGAATAAATGTAAAAATAATCATATGTAATTCATATCACTATATATTTAGAAAATCCCATATTGGCACCTACTTGGATATATGTGGTTTACAAATCGAATCCGATATTATGAATTATTAAGGGATGACATTAAATAATTGCCAACCAATATCTATAAACAAGGAATTCTACCTTTGACATAAGATATGATAGACTTTTCTGATTACACAGACATCAAGAAAGTGTGTAAATTACTTATAGCTTTATCAGATGGATTGACTGGTCTAAAGAAAACTCAGTTTTTATATCAATTCAGAACTGAAAATCTCCTATCTAATAATAGAATCAAATAATAATTAGGCACATAGATTAAATAATAAAGAAGTTAATAAATTGACATTAAAAAAGAGATAATTGAAGCTGAAGGTAACATATCAATTGCCAAAGTATAATTTCTTATAATATATTAGTCTTAATTAAAATAAGATGGTTTAACAAGAGTTGAATCACAGAAATTTACAAAATAAATGGAATAAGCTTAAAAATAGGCTTAAAAATTAAAATAATAATATTCAAAATTAGAAAAAGAAATAGCCTCTTTAACAGAAAGATATAATTAATAAGATAAGGTAATTATGTATTAATATACTTATTAGGAATTGGCTATTACTTAAATGCCAGCTTTATTATTAAATCCATCTATGTGTTTAGGTCAGGATGCTAAACATAGTTCATATTATTTCTTTTTATATGAACCTGATAAAATATTTGTATGTATGAGACATTCTATTATTGATGATGATGGATCATAATAATGGGGATTTTATGATTAGACTGATATCTAAAATCTACTNAGGAATGCATACGAACTTAAAACAAAGAGCCATAATTCCAGGAAGGTACTAAATGGTACTGTCTCTCATGTATAGAGAGAATGGCCAAGAGAAAATTGAAAGAGTCGGAACCATAGAAAAAGAAGAAAACTAGTCAAATCCCTGAATTCTTTTAGAAAACCTTATAACCACAAGAAGATAAATTGAAAAAACACACAGAATTTCAATAAAAATATCCAACCTATGTCTAATAAGGAAGAGTAATTTTTCCAATATTTGATGAATATCTGACAGCATATCAATAATTGTTTACCATAGAAATTAAAAAGAAGCCTATTCTCCAACTTGATCCAACAATTCCCCAGAACCTCTTTGAAGATATTCTTAAGATATGGGATAGTTATAATTATATGGATAAAATTGTTAGTGACATTCTCTATGCAGGAGAACAGTAAACTGAATGTATTACTATACATAATATAAAAAGAGTAAAGTTAAGTTAATAACATTGGTACATTGATTCATTTCAAAGACAATCACACACCTTATAGTTAAAAAACTCGCTTAGAGATATATAATATAATATAAACAAAACCTGAAGAATTGATCCTCTTCTTTTGTTACTTCTATCTTAAATAAATAATTGAGGATTTAGATTAAGAATAAATGTAAAAATAATCATATGTAATTCATATCACTATATATTTAGAAAATCCCATATTGGCACCTACTTGGATATATGTGGTTTACAAATCGAATCCGATATTATGAATTATTAAGGGATGACATTAAATAATTGCCAACCAATATCTATAAACAAGGAATTCTACCTTTGACATAAGATATGATAGACTTTTCTGATTACACAGACATCAAGAAAGTGTGTAAATTACTTATAGCTTTATCAGATGGATTGACTGGTCTAAAGAAAACTCAGTTTTTATATCAATTCAGAACTGAAAATCTCCTATCTAATAATAGAATCAAATAATAATTAGGCACATAGATTAAATAATAAAGAAGTTAATAAATTGACATTAAAAAAGAGATAATTGAAGCTGAAGGTAACATATCAATTGCCAAAGTATAATTTCTTATAATATATTAGTCTTAATTAAAATAAGATGGTTTAACAAGAGTTGAATCACAGAAATTTACAAAATAAATGGAATAAGCTTAAAAATAGGCTTAAAAATTAAAATAATAATATTCAAAATTAGAAAAAGAAATAGCCTCTTTAACAGAAAGATATAATTAATAAGATAAGGTAATTATGTATTAATATACTTATTAGGAATTGGCTATTACTTAAATGCCAGCTTTATTATTAAATCCATCTATGTGTTTAGGTCAGGATGCTAAACATAGTTCATATTATTTCTTTTTATATGAACCTGATAAAATATTTGTATGTATGAGACATTCTATTATTGATGATGATGGATCATAATAATGGGGATTTTATGATTAGACTGATATCTAAAATCTACTTAATTCTTTATGTCCAAAAGGTGTTAGAGAAAACACTTTAAAGAATAATATTATTGAATTATAAAGGGCTAAATTGTTATAAATAAATGAGTAAAATTAAGAATAGAATAATGATTAAATAGAATAAGAGAATAATAAAAATGGGAAAGGTGTAGAGAATGATATTGAATAAGAAATTCATAATTAAAGTGAAGAATAAATAGAGAGAATAAATAGTTTAATAAATTTAGATGTAGATGAACTTGTTAATGAATTTGTTGAAATTGAATCAAGTTTAACATAATATTTAAATTAAAAAAATTCAAGATGGTGTAGTACTGAATAAAGAATTGCATTTTTAAAGAGTTTTTAGAATGTTATTGAAAAAAAGAGTTCAAAAGAATATGATGAAATAGATCTCAAACCTTTAGGGAAAGCTATTGAATATTTTGTAGATAATACAATGATGTAAGAGAAATTAGAACTTAGATTAGATGAAGATATAGATGAGAAATTATTAAATGAAAATGAAGATGATTCTTATTAATAACCTAATAGAAGAAGAAAAGTTGTTGAAGATGATTCATCTGTTGATGAATAACCTTAAACTATGTTACAATAATTAGAATAAATGGATATTGGAAAAGTAAGAGTAAGAAAATTACCAATGAAATTATTTGGTACTTATTATGAGACTTTACGATTGAATTTAATTGAACAACTCAAATTTGATTGTAATTTAGCAAAAATGAAAATTTGCTTAGAAGTATTAGGTCAAATTGTTAAGGATTATATTGACAGAAAAAAGATTTAAATTCAATAATAAATTATACCTGTTGGAGAAAAGAAAAAGGTGGAAGAAGTAGTTGTTGTTGTTAAAAAGAATGTTGAACCTCAACCTTAATTTGTTTAAGAAGCATAATTGTATGTTACTCAAAATTTGAGGAAAAGAAACTAAGTAAAACCTTAATATACTGAGACAGAAACTAAATGGGAGGACAGATGTAAGAAATGTAATAAAGGAGGAAAAGTTATTTGTTGTGATACTTGTCCAAAAGTATTTCATCCAAAATGTATAAATTTAAAGGAGGTTCCATAAGGGAAGTGGAACTGTCTTAATTGCTTAACAAATTTTGAGAGATAAATTAAAACAAGAGCTACTATTAGAAAGTTAGAAAACCAATGAGACAATGATCCATTGTTTTTATTATTAAATAATGATTTGTGATTTAGTTGATTATACTCTAAGAACAACTCCAAATAAAGGAAGGTTTTCATAGACCAACACAACAACATCCCCTAACAGTTCTAGCAATTCATCTTTCGAAGCTTCTTAACTTAAGATCCCACGACCTTTGTTAAGTTTTGATGAAAAATTTGAAGCTTCTCTTTGTGCTTTTGGTAATAGGTTTATAATCCATTTTAGAGTTTAAATTATTAGTCCCTGAAGAAGATGGCTTAATAAATTTTGAACAGTTCAGTTAAGAATTGATATAAGACAAACTTATATTCTTGAATGATGAAAAATATTTATAATAGTAATAGGCTNCACTTTAAAGAATAATATTATTGAATTATAAAGGGCTAAATTGTTATAAATAAATGAGTAAAATTAAGAATAGAATAATGATTAAATAGAATAAGAGAATAATAAAAATGGGAAAGGTGTAGAGAATGATATTGAATAAGAAATTCATAATTAAAGTGAAGAATAAATAGAGAGAATAAATAGTTTAATAAATTTAGATGTAGATGAACTTGTTAATGAATTTGTTGAAATTGAATCAAGTTTAACATAATATTTAAATTAAAAAAATTCAAGATGGTGTAGTACTGAATAAAGAATTGCATTTTTAAAGAGTTTTTAGAATGTTATTGAAAAAAAGAGTTCAAAAGAATATGATGAAATAGATCTCAAACCTTTAGGGAAAGCTATTGAATATTTTGTAGATAATACAATGATGTAAGAGAAATTAGAACTTAGATTAGATGAAGATATAGATGAGAAATTATTAAATGAAAATGAAGATGATTCTTATTAATAACCTAATAGAAGAAGAAAAGTTGTTGAAGATGATTCATCTGTTGATGAATAACCTTAAACTATGTTACAATAATTAGAATAAATGGATATTGGAAAAGTAAGAGTAAGAAAATTACCAATGAAATTATTTGGTACTTATTATGAGACTTTACGATTGAATTTAATTGAACAACTCAAATTTGATTGTAATTTAGCAAAAATGAAAATTTGCTTAGAAGTATTAGGTCAAATTGTTAAGGATTATATTGACAGAAAAAAGATTTAAATTCAATAATAAATTATACCTGTTGGAGAAAAGAAAAAGGTGGAAGAAGTAGTTGTTGTTGTTAAAAAGAATGTTGAACCTCAACCTTAATTTGTTTAAGAAGCATAATTGTATGTTACTCAAAATTTGAGGAAAAGAAACTAAGTAAAACCTTAATATACTGAGACAGAAACTAAATGGGAGGACAGATGTAAGAAATGTAATAAAGGAGGAAAAGTTATTTGTTGTGATACTTGTCCAAAAGTATTTCATCCAAAATGTATAAATTTAAAGGAGGTTCCATAAGGGAAGTGGAACTGTCTTAATTGCTTAACAAATTTTGAGAGATAAATTAAAACAAGAGCTACTATTAGAAAGTTAGAAAACCAATGAGACAATGATCCATTGTTTTTATTATTAAATAATGATTTGTGATTTAGTTGATTATACTCTAAGAACAACTCCAAATAAAGGAAGGTTTTCATAGACCAACACAACAACATCCCCTAACAGTTCTAGCAATTCATCTTTCGAAGCTTCTTAACTTAAGATCCCACGACCTTTGTTAAGTTTTGATGAAAAATTTGAAGCTTCTCTTTGTGCTTTTGGTAATAGGTTTATAATCCATTTTAGAGTTTAAATTATTAGTCCCTGAAGAAGATGGCTTAATAAATTTTGAACAGTTCAGTTAAGAATTGATATAAGACAAACTTATATTCTTGAATGATGAAAAATATTTATAATAGTAATAGGCTTCATTAGAGATTTTAGAAGAGAATGTAACACATTTAATTAAAAAACTTAGATTCTTAAGGATGATAGAACCACTTTGATGCTCAAAAATATACCAAGAAACATGAAGCCAAATGACTTGAGAAATATTTTAAATAAAGAATTTCGTAATCTCTATGATTTTTTCTATTTACCTTTGGATAACAATGTATTTCTAATTTTATATTTGAAGAATGAAGGTCATTTGGGATATGCTTTTGTTAATTTTATCAATCAAGATGTAGTATTAAAGTTTTATAGAACATTTAATAATTAAAAATGGACTAATTCAGAGAAAGTAATACTAATTTTATTAATTGTAGTAAATTTGTCAATTGAAATATGCTAAATTATAGGGAAGAAGACAATATGAATTTGCAAGATGATTGAGTTTCAAATAGCTATTTTTGTGTATTTTTTTTCAAATTTTGATTTAAATTCATTCAAGGATAATAAGGAGCTAATAGTTTTTAATTATATAAATCATTTAAGTTTAATGAAGAATAAACTTCTGAATCTGTTAGGATTTATTCAAAGTTCTTCACTTTTTTCATTCTTTTCTATGCATTTTTAGTCAATAATTATTTAATTAATAATTTTACAGACCTTAGAATAATTACAATATCAACTTATCTATGCACTATGGAAATTCAACTTTATCATTCACAATAGCTTAATACACTTCATATGGTGTCTTGCCCTTAAAAGGAAGTTCCCCAGTTGAGAACTCATACAATAATACTCCTAAACTCCAATAATCCACACTATTATTATAACCTTATCCTTAAATTGCTTCAGGAGCCATAAAACCTGGACTTCCACATAATGTATTTGTCTTTTAAGGATACTTTACCAATTTACTCAAATCAAAATCCACTAATTTTAGATATCCATTCTTCATAAGCAATAGATTTTCAGACTTTAAATCTCTATAAATCACATCATTTTTATGTAGATAATCCAAAGCTAAGATGATTTATGCTGAATAAAATTGAATTGCTTCCAATTCCAATTAATGATTGCGTATGTATTTATATAGTGATTATTCATGTAATAGTTCCATTAAATAATATGCAGAATTATTACAGATCTCATATTAGAACACTTTAACAATGTTTGGATGATTCAAGAGTTATAATCTTTAGAAAAGCTGTTCTGAAAATAAATTTAATGGAATCTATTTAGCTGCATATTTCTTCTAATCTCTTTAATTTATCACTTCAACAACCTGTCCGTATTCTCCCTCTCCTAACTTCCTAACAAAGACATACCCACTCATTAATTATATCTAATAATTCCACTTTATTGACTACAAAATGCTATAAACTTACTCAAATTATAAGTCACTTTTAAAGAATCCTCATCCAAATTAAATTAATGTTTTAAAAAAAAGAACATTATTTAATTGAAAATACACAATAACTCATTTAATATCTTTCAGAATTGTGCTTGCAAACTTTGAAATAAAATCTTTTAGTCCTGCTATTGATTTATTTAATTCGTTTCTATAAATAATAATAATTATTAATATACTAATTTTTAGGTCCACTTACTTTTTCTAAATCATCTATACTTCTTATCAATATTCCTATCTTCTCTAAGGCCATTACATAATCTTTCTTTATTTAATCCAAATCCTCATTAATCTTAGCCTTTATCTCTTAATTCTTTTTATCATGAATTAACTATTTATAATAATTTAATTGCTGCACCAACTATAAATTTAATAGAATTCATACTTTAACTTATAAGATCTTTAATTCTGCCTCTAATTATTATCCTTATGCATCATTTATCACTATGCTTCTATTTTATATTGTATTTTTCTCAAGTTCTTATTATTATTAATTAATATAATCTTAATACTTTTAAACTTAATTCAAATAATTTTAATTCTAACTTGATAATTGCTTAATCTCTTTATTTAATTTATCCTTATCCAACTCACATTATGCAATTTATTGGTTCAATGAATTTAATTAATTCTTTTATAAATTATAATTCTCTCTTAATTATTCTAATTCTTATTATTAGGATTTCAATTTAATTTCTTATTATTCTAATAATTTTCCATTTTATTCTTTTAAAGCACTCAATTCTGAAACTTAACTTTCTAATTTATCAACCTTTTTTTAATTTTATTATAATTTAGTGTTCTCAATTTATAGTTTACTTAACTCTTCTAATTTCTCATTTAAAGTCTATTGTAATTCTGAATTTTCTTAACTAAGATTAGTTATTTATTATAATTATTACTAAATCTCACTTTCATATTATTCTCTAGAATCTGATAATTAAGAATTAACATTTTGTAATTATTAACTTAATTTATTTAATTTTTCATCTAATTCTTATTTTTATTTGGTTATTAATAACAAATTATTTTGAGTCTACAACAAACTCTATTCTAATTAAGTAACATTATTGGTTAATTAATTAATTTATTTTTCTGATTATTCTCTATATTGTTATAATTATTCTTAAATATTTTTCTATTATAAATCTATTAATTCTTTTTCCTCTTTTTCAGACAATAATTTTTAAGTTATTTGTAAATTTTAAGAATTTTGATCATTAATTTAAGAACTCATTTGTTTAATTTAATCATTTTACCTTTATTTTTCTTCCTCTAATTTTAAAATTTATTACTTTAATTTTTCTAATTCTTATTTTGTAGTATTTTATATTTATTATAGTATCTCAATCTTATTTTATAATTCTTTATTCTCTTAATTAATTTAATTATTTTCATTCTTAGAACTTTGAAGTTTACTATTTAAACTTTATATTTCTTATTATAATTAAGTAGTTGTTTGATTTGATTAATCAATTTAACTCTTAAAATATTTAATAGATTCATCTAATTAATTCATCGATTCATTTTTTGATCTTATTTATTAATTTAATACACTAATTTATTCAGTTAATAATTATTCTTATTGTTATTTACTTTAAGATAATGATTATATTTATTATTTAAGATTTCCAATTTGATCATCTCTTGTTTTTATTTGTTAATTTAATTATTGAGCTTGAGATTAACTTTAATCTTGTAATTGTCTTTAAATGAGTTCCTTCATTTCTTCAGCATTAGCAGCACTATTCTAAATATCAATTAATTGCTTTTTCAATAAATCAATCATTTCATTTTTATTATTTATATTAGAATCACTTTCTTTAATTTACCTTTACATTTCTAATTACAACCTCTAAATTTCTTCCTTTAAAATCTTAATTTCATAAACTTATTGTTCTATTTTACTATTTAAATTTTATTCATTTTCAAATAGATTAATTTATTTCTTTTAAGCTTCATTCTTCAATAATTAATTAGCACTTATAGCAGCCTATAATTATTATTATATCTAAATAATATCTTATTGATGATCCTCTTCTAATCTTAATTTTTCTTCCTTCTATTATTTTATTGTATTTTATAATTTGAGTATTTCACAATTAAGATTTGATATTTCAAATTCAAATGTACTAATTTATAAATTAAGAGTATTAATTTTTTATCCAGCAATTTATTCATTTTCTTAACTTTCATTAATATAATCTTAAAGTTCTTGAATTATTTATGTTTATTTAAATAATTATTATTTTAATTGATCTGAAGTTTGCTCAAATTATTTTGATAATTAAGATTTTTCTGATTCTTTTAGAGTTATTACTTAAGATAATTATGCCACTTCTAAATTATATGATGCAATTTTATTATTGCAATCTTAAATTTATTAATTAAGTTTTTTCTCATTAGTCTACTTATCTAAAATAATCTAATTCAATTCATTTTATTTCTCAAATAACTTCTATGCTTATTCTTCATATTATGAATTTTTATCTTCAAGATTACTTTATAAAGTTTCTATCAAATTTTATTATTATGTTAATTTTTCTTCTATTTAATTTATCTTATTATTCGATTTTTGTATATTAAATTCTGATTCTTTTATGTATTTCTAAAATTCTATATTTTATTTATCTTTTTAACTCTATAAATCTTAAATAAATTATTAACAAGACTCTTAATCCTCTTCATATTTTTATTATAAATTATTATATAATTCTTTTTAAGAAATTAATTAATTTTATACTTCTTCGTATTACAATTTCAATTCATTATAATTATCTTCTAATTCAGATTAACTTTCCTTCAAAGTCTAAATTTACTATTTAAATTCTTTATCACTTTCACTTTTTTCATCTTCTATCATTTTTTATCTTTCAATTAATACATTTCTCTCTTAAATCAATTAATCAATTTAATCTTTCTATTAATTTAAATTTTATTAAAATTCTGCAATCTAAAAATCTAAATTCAATATCTAAGCTTCTTTCTTATTTAAAATGGCTAATTTAGCTTATAGTTCTAAATCATAATTTTATTGATTTTCTTAAAGTGTTTAAGATACTAATTAAAGTTCTTCATTCATTTATTTATTAACAGCCTCAATCTCTAATTTCTGTTTTTCAATTATCTCATTACATTCTTTAATTTCTTTATCCTTCTATTTTATTTTAGATTTTAATTCATCTATTTCAATTGTTTATTAATCTAATTCTTTATCATACTACTCAATACATTCCATACCTACTTATAATTTCATTTTTAAATCTTAAACCTCTTGATTTAATTGATCAATCTCCCAATCCTTCTAAGCAATATCGTCCATTTTCTTTAATAATTATTCATATGAATAATCCTCTAATTGCTTATATTCTTTCTCAGATTCTTATTTTAATTTTTCCAATTATAACTAAATACTTGCAATTTCTTCATTTTTCTATATTACTGTTGTTGTCAAATCTTCTTCCTTTGTTTCTAATAATTTTAATGTATTATTATAGAGTTCCTCCAAAGATTTATTTTATTACTGTAATTTTAAATACGATCCCTCAGTTTGATTAAACTTTTCAATTTAATCTGTTAATTAAGTAGTCAACTCTTCTAATTCTAATTAAGTATCTTTGATACTTTTAGCTGATTGTTCTAATTACTTTTGCTTATTTTAATTTTCTAAAGTGATTCCTTCAATAAATTTCTATTGTTCTTAAATTTTAATAATTTGCTATTGCATCTAATTATTATTTCCCTCAATAGTCTCTTCTAAAGACTTAATCATAGCTTCTTTATCTATAATAATGTTTGACAATTCTTCAATTTTATCCTTCCCTTCTTTAATTTATGAATTTAAATCACTAATCTCCTACTATTTTTAATTAGTTTCAATTTGATGCTTCAATTATTCTTCATTCATCTTTCCACCAATATCAGAAAGTTCTAGAGTGTGTTATTAGATTTTAGTCTATAATTATGATTATAATTATAAATATTCTAATTCTTTTCTTTAGATATCACTCTATAAATTTTGGATGGTTTCAATATGTTAATCAACTTGTTCTTATAATTCATTTATTTTTTATTCTGCTAAATCTAATTCTTAATTTAATCGTTTCTCTTCTTAAAACTTCGTTTCTCTATATTCATCATATGTATTCTTTAATTCTCTAACATGAATTTGTAAGGAATCATTCAAATTTAATTATTTAATATTTTCTTCTTATTATTACTAAATCTATAAATTTAATTCATCCATTTATTCATCCTTTTATATCAACATCATATTCTTAAGTTGTATCAAATCTTAATTTTTTTTATTTATTTCTGCTATTCTTTATTCTTGAACTATCTTTAAATCTTCAATAGTTTATTTATATGTTAATTCTACTTATTTCTTTTCTTCAATTAAATATTAAAGTTCTTCTAATAATTATTACTTATTCTATTCTAATTTTGAAATCAATTCTGATTATTCAACATTTGTTTATATTTAAGAATCAATTGCTTCATTTTATATATCATTCTAATGTTATAATTCTTATACTTATTTTTCATATTCACTTTCTTTCAATTATTTTTCATTTTTTAATTCTTAATACTTTTAATTCAATTAATTCAAATTATCTTATAATTATACAATCTTTTAATTTAAATTTGATATTTATTATTCTAGATTCTTTATCTAATCTTCCAATGATTTATTTTATTATTTGAACAATTATTCTGATTATTTTAGGTTTTCTGTTAATTCTAAGATCACTTATTATTATTTTTCTTATTCCAATTATGAATATGATTTGAATTTTTCAAGTTCAATACTTAAATTTTGACTATGATTTTTCAATTAAATAATTTCTTATTCTTTTTATTATATATCATTCTAAAAAGCTTCATTATTTTAATTTAATTTCTCTAATTCTTTTTCTTTCTCTTATATATATTCCAATCTTTATTCCATTTGAGCTTAATAATCAAAAAGTTATTAATCTAGTTTCTTAATTTAATGTTCTTTATCTTAAATTTCATTTTATTTTTACAACAATTATTTTTAATGATTAACATTTATCTCTTCAATTTAAACTTGATTATCTCTTATTATATTTTCAATCTTAACATTTAAATTAGAAATTTCTAATCTATATTGATCATCTTATAAATTAATTTAAGTCTAATGTAAAGTAACCATTAAATCTCTTTCATTAATCTCTTCTACCTACTTTGTATTTAATTATTTTAATTAAACTAACTCTTCTGATAATTGTAATACTTCATATTCATTTTTTAAATTAATCTAAATAATTTCTTATGTTTTTTATTCCAATTAAATTTACAATTATTCAATTTCTTTTAATTATTTTTCTATTTTTACTTATTAATCTAATAGTTATTATTTTAAATTCAATTTCTCTTAATTAAATTAACTCTATTCAATAGATGAATTCTTCTAATAATCATTATTAATTTCTTCTAAATTTGCAATCCTATTAGAATATTCAGCAATTAAACTTTTCTTTTCATCTTCTAGTATATGTATTTATTATTCATATTTTTATTTTAATTACAACATCTCTTCATATTAAGTTTATTTTTTTTATTCATAATTTTTTAAAGCATCCTCTCCTTATTTCTTCAAAGCTTCAATTTACTTATCTTTTGATTCACTAATACTAGTTATTAATTTGTTCTTTTCATGTACTTCGTTAACTTAATCTTTATGCTATTAAATTAATTATTATAAATAAAATTTCTCTGTTTAATTTACAGATTCTTTCTACTATTCTTAATATAATTAATCATTCAACTTTTAAAGTTACTCTTTTTAACTCTCATTTAATTAATTAATCTATTTTAGATTTTCTTGACTTTCTTGTAGTTTAATTTACAAATCATTTACTTCTTCATTCAACTAAAAATTTTCTTATTTAAGTTTTTCTTATAATAATTATATTTACTTATATTCATTCTTCAAATTTTCATTTTATGTCTATTATTCTTTCAACTTATATGAATTCTCTAAATTTGTTTAAGATTGTTTTTATTCTTATTATGATAAATCATTTTTCAATTTTCCAATTTCCAATTACAATTAATTAATCTCCAAACTTTATTAAGTTGATTTCTATATAGCTAATTATTCTTTTGAATTACTTTCCTTTAAATACTCTTACAATTCTTAAATCAAACTATTTTATGAATTTAATTAATCTTTTAATTATTGATTTGCCTCATTATATTATTGGATATTTTATTCTTTGTCCACCTCTGCCTTATCAACTAATGAATTTAATTAATTAATCTCATTAGTCAAATCAGAAATTTTATTTTAGAACTCTTAACATTATTAATTAGTTAACTTTGTATTTTTTTCTTTTTCAGCTATTGCTTAATTAAATTCAGATTTTTATTTTTCACATTATTATTGCAATAATACAATTTAATCCTATTTTTGTGTTAATTCATTTTAATATTTAATAACTTGTTATTCAAGTGTATTGATATGACTTTCTTTCTCAATAAGTAAAGACTGTTTCACTGACATAACACTCATTCTCTACTCTTCCTAATCTTAAATATTTTATTAGAATTATTCAATCTAATTATTCAAATCTTAAATAATTGCATTAGCTTATTATAATTAGACCTTTTATTTCTCAATAATCTAATTTAATGAACTCTCACTATTTTATTTTTAGTTGTCTGCTTCATTTTTCTGGATTTTAGTTTATGTAATTTCAGCTAAATATTATTTAATTTATTGTTCATATTAAGAAATCACCTATTTATTTTCTTATTCCTATTATCTCTATTATTTCTTTAAAGACTTAATTTATTCAGATAATTGTGTAATTTATTAATTATTTTAGTCAAGTAAAACTTTATAGTCATCAATATTTTTTGATATATTTGTTTCCTATTACACAGAATGATCTTGCAGTATCTTAATCTTCTCAGTCAATTATAAAACAAGACTTGATTTTTAAGATAATTCATCCTTTTATTGTGTTATGACACCATTCAATTAAGCCTCATTACTTTTGTAAAGCATTCTTTCTTAAATGAGATCAGAAGATAATTCTTAGATCTTTAAATTTAATTTAGATACTTATTCTTCACTTTTCTAAAATTTGTCTTATAATATCAAGATTTGATTTTTATAATTTGATTCAGTTTCAGCCTAGGTTTATTCTGATATTTATTTTGTTTATTCTAATTCTTATTGTAATTCAATTTTATCTTGTTTAAGTTTTTCAATTTCTCTTGATTTAGCTTTATTCATTTAATCAAANTATAATTAATCATTCAACTTTTAAAGTTACTCTTTTTAACTCTCATTTAATTAATTAATCTATTTTAGATTTTCTTGACTTTCTTGTAGTTTAATTTACAAATCATTTACTTCTTCATTCAACTAAAAATTTTCTTATTTAAGTTTTTCTTATAATAATTATATTTACTTATATTCATTCTTCAAATTTTCATTTTATGTCTATTATTCTTTCAACTTATATGAATTCTCTAAATTTGTTTAAGATTGTTTTTATTCTTATTATGATAAATCATTTTTCAATTTTCCAATTTCCAATTACAATTAATTAATCTCCAAACTTTATTAAGTTGATTTCTATATAGCTAATTATTCTTTTGAATTACTTTCCTTTAAATACTCTTACAATTCTTAAATCAAACTATTTTATGAATTTAATTAATCTTTTAATTATTGATTTGCCTCATTATATTATTGGATATTTTATTCTTTGTCCACCTCTGCCTTATCAACTAATGAATTTAATTAATTAATCTCATTAGTCAAATCAGAAATTTTATTTTAGAACTCTTAACATTATTAATTAGTTAACTTTGTATTTTTTTCTTTTTCAGCTATTGCTTAATTAAATTCAGATTTTTATTTTTCACATTATTATTGCAATAATACAATTTAATCCTATTTTTGTGTTAATTCATTTTAATATTTAATAACTTGTTATTCAAGTGTATTGATATGACTTTCTTTCTCAATAAGTAAAGACTGTTTCACTGACATAACACTCATTCTCTACTCTTCCTAATCTTAAATATTTTATTAGAATTATTCAATCTAATTATTCAAATCTTAAATAATTGCATTAGCTTATTATAATTAGACCTTTTATTTCTCAATAATCTAATTTAATGAACTCTCACTATTTTATTTTTAGTTGTCTGCTTCATTTTTCTGGATTTTAGTTTATGTAATTTCAGCTAAATATTATTTAATTTATTGTTCATATTAAGAAATCACCTATTTATTTTCTTATTCCTATTATCTCTATTATTTCTTTAAAGACTTAATTTATTCAGATAATTGTGTAATTTATTAATTATTTTAGTCAAGTAAAACTTTATAGTCATCAATATTTTTTGATATATTTGTTTCCTATTACACAGAATGATCTTGCAGTATCTTAATCTTCTCAGTCAATTATAAAACAAGACTTGATTTTTAAGATAATTCATCCTTTTATTGTGTTATGACACCATTCAATTAAGCCTCATTACTTTTGTAAAGCATTCTTTCTTAAATGAGATCAGAAGATAATTCTTAGATCTTTAAATTTAATTTAGATACTTATTCTTCACTTTTCTAAAATTTGTCTTATAATATCAAGATTTGATTTTTATAATTTGATTCAGTTTCAGCCTAGGTTTATTCTGATATTTATTTTGTTTATTCTAATTCTTATTGTAATTCAATTTTATCTTGTTTAAGTTTTTCAATTTCTCTTGATTTAGCTTTATTCATTTAATCAAATTCAACTTATTTAGCATGAAGCTTTTATTATAATTCTTAATTTTAATTTTACAATTCATTAGTTTAATCTTATAATTCACTAATTTATTATTTCATATCAAATGTTCCATTAATAGAAGCAGATTCTAATTGTAAATTTAATGCTTTAAGTTCCTTTAATTAATTTTAAAGATCTTCAATAATCTATCTATTATTGATAATTTCAAATTCAACCTCATCATATCTTTACTAAAATTCTTTTTCTAATTTCTATTTGACATCTTCAACTTCTTAATTTTACAGATTCAATTAACTATTTAATTCTTTAAGTTCTTCAATTTTTTAAGTTAACTAATCAATTTTTTATTAACTTTACAATAGTTTTTCCTCTAATTCTTAATTTTATTATTTTAATTTATCAATCTCTAATTTAGATAAATTTTGTATTTGAGTTGCTTTGTTTGTCAACTATTAAATTTGAGAGAATTTGTTAGCGTTTTGTTTTTAAGATTCTTATAGATCTACTTAACACTTGTGCAATTCTGCAATTAATTTTACTCTCTCTTTTCCAAACTCACTTGTTTCTTTTGTTTCTTATTAGACTTCTTCTCTTATCTTAGATTCCCTCGATTTCATTTATTCAGACATAAAAACTAAATTTTCTTGTAAGTCTTGAATCTTCTAATCCTTTTTGTTACAGTCTCTCTGAAGATTTTCTATAGCTTTTTGCAATTATTCTATAGTTTCGCCTTGTCTTGGATTCGAATCTTACTCATTTTCAGCAAATTCAAGTTTGTTAAGAACTTTATTCGTTTCTTCCTTATTTTACATTTACTGCTATGGATTTTTAGCAATAACTTCAGATTTTCTAGGAGGAGGTTGTTGTTGTTATTAAACAGGTGCAGCTTTCATCATCGACTGAAATCTTCCAGCCAACTATTTAACTGATAGCCTGTTTGCTTCAGGCTAGTCATCACTCATTTTTTTTAATAATTAGATATAAAGATAAACTCAATCAAAACAATAGTCGAGAAATTAATATAAAAAGATAATTCAAAATAGCTACTACAATTTGATCTTCAAATCAGCTTAAGATATAGCTCTTTTCAATTTATACTTCTCTTTATATTCTCCTTCTAAAGGAGGCAATTTCCATTAATTTCTTTCCTTACGCTCATTGCTCTTAATTCTCTCTCGCAATATTTTATTATATTCATCAACAGTTTATACTTATTGAATAGTAGGATAGATAAATTCAGGGAGACTGTAATCACACTTTTTCTAAGATTATTCCATAATTGGTAGTTTCTCTCTATCTTTGAAAGAAGTGTTTCTAAAAATACGTTGTCTCTTAAAATGCAATTAGTCTTATTATCTTAGTGCTTGATTTCCAAATTTCTTATAAAGATTAACATANAATTAAATTCAGATTTTTATTTTTCACATTATTATTGCAATAATACAATTTAATCCTATTTTTGTGTTAATTCATTTTAATATTTAATAACTTGTTATTCAAGTGTATTGATATGACTTTCTTTCTCAATAAGTAAAGACTGTTTCACTGACATAACACTCATTCTCTACTCTTCCTAATCTTAAATATTTTATTAGAATTATTCAATCTAATTATTCAAATCTTAAATAATTGCATTAGCTTATTATAATTAGACCTTTTATTTCTCAATAATCTAATTTAATGAACTCTCACTATTTTATTTTTAGTTGTCTGCTTCATTTTTCTGGATTTTAGTTTATGTAATTTCAGCTAAATATTATTTAATTTATTGTTCATATTAAGAAATCACCTATTTATTTTCTTATTCCTATTATCTCTATTATTTCTTTAAAGACTTAATTTATTCAGATAATTGTGTAATTTATTAATTATTTTAGTCAAGTAAAACTTTATAGTCATCAATATTTTTTGATATATTTGTTTCCTATTACACAGAATGATCTTGCAGTATCTTAATCTTCTCAGTCAATTATAAAACAAGACTTGATTTTTAAGATAATTCATCCTTTTATTGTGTTATGACACCATTCAATTAAGCCTCATTACTTTTGTAAAGCATTCTTTCTTAAATGAGATCAGAAGATAATTCTTAGATCTTTAAATTTAATTTAGATACTTATTCTTCACTTTTCTAAAATTTGTCTTATAATATCAAGATTTGATTTTTATAATTTGATTCAGTTTCAGCCTAGGTTTATTCTGATATTTATTTTGTTTATTCTAATTCTTATTGTAATTCAATTTTATCTTGTTTAAGTTTTTCAATTTCTCTTGATTTAGCTTTATTCATTTAATCAAATTCAACTTATTTAGCATGAAGCTTTTATTATAATTCTTAATTTTAATTTTACAATTCATTAGTTTAATCTTATAATTCACTAATTTATTATTTCATATCAAATGTTCCATTAATAGAAGCAGATTCTAATTGTAAATTTAATGCTTTAAGTTCCTTTAATTAATTTTAAAGATCTTCAATAATCTATCTATTATTGATAATTTCAAATTCAACCTCATCATATCTTTACTAAAATTCTTTTTCTAATTTCTATTTGACATCTTCAACTTCTTAATTTTACAGATTCAATTAACTATTTAATTCTTTAAGTTCTTCAATTTTTTAAGTTAACTAATCAATTTTTTATTAACTTTACAATAGTTTTTCCTCTAATTCTTAATTTTATTATTTTAATTTATCAATCTCTAATTTAGATAAATTTTGTATTTGAGTTGCTTTGTTTGTCAACTATTAAATTTGAGAGAATTTGTTAGCGTTTTGTTTTTAAGATTCTTATAGATCTACTTAACACTTGTGCAATTCTGCAATTAATTTTACTCTCTCTTTTCCAAACTCACTTGTTTCTTTTGTTTCTTATTAGACTTCTTCTCTTATCTTAGATTCCCTCGATTTCATTTATTCAGACATAAAAACTAAATTTTCTTGTAAGTCTTGAATCTTCTAATCCTTTTTGTTACAGTCTCTCTGAAGATTTTCTATAGCTTTTTGCAATTATTCTATAGTTTCGCCTTGTCTTGGATTCGAATCTTACTCATTTTCAGCAAATTCAAGTTTGTTAAGAACTTTATTCGTTTCTTCCTTATTTTACATTTACTGCTATGGATTTTTAGCAATAACTTCAGATTTTCTAGGAGGAGGTTGTTGTTGTTATTAAACAGGTGCAGCTTTCATCATCGACTGAAATCTTCCAGCCAACTATTTAACTGATAGCCTGTTTGCTTCAGGCTAGTCATCACTCATTTTTTTTAATAATTAGATATAAAGATAAACTCAATCAAAACAATAGTCGAGAAATTAATATAAAAAGATAATTCAAAATAGCTACTACAATTTGATCTTCAAATCAGCTTAAGATATAGCTCTTTTCAATTTATACTTCTCTTTATATTCTCCTTCTAAAGGAGGCAATTTCCATTAATTTCTTTCCTTACGCTCATTGCTCTTAATTCTCTCTCGCAATATTTTATTATATTCATCAACAGTTTATACTTATTGAATAGTAGGATAGATAAATTCAGGGAGACTGTAATCACACTTTTTCTAAGATTATTCCATAATTGGTAGTTTCTCTCTATCTTTGAAAGAAGTGTTTCTAAAAATACGTTGTCTCTTAAAATGCAATTAGTCTTATTATCTTAGTGCTTGATTTCCAAATTTCTTATAAAGATTAACATATTTATCTCTAACAAAATATTGACTATTCAACTTCCATTTTTCTAATTATTGATCCATTTATAATATATAATAAATTATTAATATATGGATCAATTACCATCATTTGCAGGAGATGATTCATAAATAACTTATCTTTTTGCATGGGGACGCAACAAAGATGGAGAATTGTCAATTGTAAAATAGGATATCAATATTTTGATTAGGGTAATCAAAAGAAATGCAATGCCCCAAAAGCAGTTCAAGGATTGAAGAATAAAACAGTTTAATTGATTATTTCAGGTTCAAATCATTCAGGAATTGTAACATCTGATGGTCAACTTTTTATTTGTGGTTCTGCATTACACGGTTTGCAATCCAAATTTAAAAAATAATTTAAGTAAACTTGGTTTTGAAGATGCAAATCAACCATCTTATCCTAAATTCTTACTTGTTTAAGCTATGAAAGGCTTATTTGTGACTTAAGTGGCAACAGGAGATTATCATACTTTATGTTTATTAGACAATGGATAAGTATATGCTTGGGGTGGCACTCTACATAAAAAGTTAGGATCTAAAGCAGGTAAACCAGCAAGAATAGAAACATTAAAAAAAACTATTTTTTAAATAGGATTTTCATAGTGCTGCATTGAGTGCTAATGGAGATCTTTTTACTTGGGGAGGAGGAGGAAGAGATTATAATAGAGGTCAATTGGGTCATGGACATTTAAATGATGTAGAAACTCCCTAAGTCGTTAAAGATAATATCGTCAAATTCAGTTGCGGTGGTTATCATATGATGGCATTAGATAAAGATGATGAATTGTGGTCTTGAGGTTCTGGAATGTATGGAGAAACTGGCTAAGGAGAATTCTAAGATAGCTTATTACCAAAAAAAGTTAAAATTAATTTCAATCAAAAACATATTATTATTGATGATTTTTATGTGTAGAATAAATAAGGTATTATAAATTTTGAATATAGAATCAACTATAAAGGAAATTAGTCTAGGAGGACATCATAGTTTATTATTATCAAATAAAGGTATTGTTTATGCTTGTGGATATGCATAACATGGATAATTAGGTCAAGAATCAATTTCTTGGAATAAAGAAGAATTAAATAATTATTTGCAGGAGGAAATCATTCTTGGGCATTAATTGATTATAATCAACCCAGAATTGATGATTATTCTCCTCCTTCTCCTCTAAACGAAGAAGCTAAAATAGAGAACATTACTTAACCTCTTGATCAAGGCATATAGGATTTAGAAATAGTTATTACTGAAGTTAAAATGCATCATAGATTTGTCAAAATTTAAGTGCCAGCATAATTTTAAACTACTAATTAGGCTAAGATTAATGATTACTTAAATTTTATGCAAAAAGATCCAAATACAAAATTAAGTAAAATTTAGAATGATGCTCTTGCTTTAGGAGTAAAAGAAGAAAATAATAAGTATATATATTTTTATAGATTTAGATTATCATTTACTATTATGATGGTAATGGATCTATCATCATAGAAAATGCCATTTGAGGATATGGATGAAGGCAAAGTGAATCAAATTGGTAAACAATTTCTTGTAAAAAGAAGTACTTTCAATAAAAATTCTATATATGATTGGATTATATAGGCTGAAAAGATAATGAACATTCCAGGAATTTCAATTAAATTCTTGGAACTCAGACCATTATAATGAATGATTCTACTTATGAATTATAAACTCTTTTATAATTTTTATAATTTTGTTTGNAGCAGTTCAAGGATTGAAGAATAAAACAGTTTAATTGATTATTTCAGGTTCAAATCATTCAGGAATTGTAACATCTGATGGTCAACTTTTTATTTGTGGTTCTGCATTACACGGTTTGCAATCCAAATTTAAAAAATAATTTAAGTAAACTTGGTTTTGAAGATGCAAATCAACCATCTTATCCTAAATTCTTACTTGTTTAAGCTATGAAAGGCTTATTTGTGACTTAAGTGGCAACAGGAGATTATCATACTTTATGTTTATTAGACAATGGATAAGTATATGCTTGGGGTGGCACTCTACATAAAAAGTTAGGATCTAAAGCAGGTAAACCAGCAAGAATAGAAACATTAAAAAAAACTATTTTTTAAATAGGATTTTCATAGTGCTGCATTGAGTGCTAATGGAGATCTTTTTACTTGGGGAGGAGGAGGAAGAGATTATAATAGAGGTCAATTGGGTCATGGACATTTAAATGATGTAGAAACTCCCTAAGTCGTTAAAGATAATATCGTCAAATTCAGTTGCGGTGGTTATCATATGATGGCATTAGATAAAGATGATGAATTGTGGTCTTGAGGTTCTGGAATGTATGGAGAAACTGGCTAAGGAGAATTCTAAGATAGCTTATTACCAAAAAAAGTTAAAATTAATTTCAATCAAAAACATATTATTATTGATGATTTTTATGTGTAGAATAAATAAGGTATTATAAATTTTGAATATAGAATCAACTATAAAGGAAATTAGTCTAGGAGGACATCATAGTTTATTATTATCAAATAAAGGTATTGTTTATGCTTGTGGATATGCATAACATGGATAATTAGGTCAAGAATCAATTTCTTGGAATAAAGAAGAATTAAATAATTATTTGCAGGAGGAAATCATTCTTGGGCATTAATTGATTATAATCAACCCAGAATTGATGATTATTCTCCTCCTTCTCCTCTAAACGAAGAAGCTAAAATAGAGAACATTACTTAACCTCTTGATCAAGGCATATAGGATTTAGAAATAGTTATTACTGAAGTTAAAATGCATCATAGATTTGTCAAAATTTAAGTGCCAGCATAATTTTAAACTACTAATTAGGCTAAGATTAATGATTACTTAAATTTTATGCAAAAAGATCCAAATACAAAATTAAGTAAAATTTAGAATGATGCTCTTGCTTTAGGAGTAAAAGAAGAAAATAATAAGTATATATATTTTTATAGATTTAGATTATCATTTACTATTATGATGGTAATGGATCTATCATCATAGAAAATGCCATTTGAGGATATGGATGAAGGCAAAGTGAATCAAATTGGTAAACAATTTCTTGTAAAAAGAAGTACTTTCAATAAAAATTCTATATATGATTGGATTATATAGGCTGAAAAGATAATGAACATTCCAGGAATTTCAATTAAATTCTTGGAACTCAGACCATTATAATGAATGATTCTACTTATGAATTATAAACTCTTTTATAATTTTTATAATTTTGTTTGAGATAATTTAATATTAATAATCTATAATACTACGTTAAATTCATGAATTGAAATTTTGGAAGTAGATAAACGATTTGAGATAAATGAATTTGAATTCAAGAAATCGAAAAGATTGATTTTTCATATGTCACAGAACAAAAATCATGAACTTAGATGACTTAAAAGCATAATGATTATAAATGTTTTGAAAGAGTAATCATAACTAAATTGATACCTAAATGCTTAATTTATCTCATAAATAACAAAGAATTGAATAAAGATATTAGTCTACATACTATAAGTATCACCTCAATTCTAAAAAGTAGTCCCAATAAATAGAATGAAATTCCTATTAATAAGTTGACAGACTTTTAAGAATTGATTGCTTAAAAAGGTATTTAGTTAAATAAACACTTAGGATAATTAAAGTCTTTAATAAGTACATTTCTTAAAACAAGGAGATCATAATTCTAATTATTATTTTGAAAAATGATATACTTAGTATTTGATTGACTGCACAGTAAACATCTACTTTCAACAGCAACTATTTTATTTATGATAATATCACTTATTTCTTCTTCAGTTATAAATTAGATAACTATATTGAAAATAAAAATAGACCCTATCATTGTTTAATAACAAATTAGATTAAGGATTCAGATTTTATTTTAGAGAAAAATTCTGATATTCATTTTATGTAAATCCCATTATTCAATATCTATCCAATTATTATTTTAATATATTCATTAGTCTGGATACTTAAAATAGATAAGAAATTTAATATTATAAAACATGTTCTTATTCTGTTCTTCTCCCTATTACAAATAATATTCCTTAAAATTTGAAAAAATTGGTTAATAACTTTTATCAAGTGAAAGAGTTATATTAATTTAACAGTAAGTTATTGTTGAAAAACCCATTAAATATGTTGTTGAACCTTTTGAATGACAAATTTCAAATAAATATTAAATTCAAAACGATCTATACATAATTTTAGTACTCAATAAAGAAATTAAAAATAAAAAAGTTACTTATGATAATCTAACAATTAATAATTAACATCATCACATGTATAAAAAGATTAATAAATCATTAAACGTTAATTGATTAATTTGATATAAATAATCAGAAAAAATAATGGCAAAAAATATCCTTAATAATGATATCTATTAAGTCACATGAACCTTAAAAATTTACCTTATATGAAAGATAACATCCTGTAAATAAATAAGATTAATAGCTGCCAAAATAATAAATCACATGTATCAAAATGCTTAACAGGTTCAATTATTGGGACTGGAAAATTAATTATAATGTGATTAATTATAATGATAATATTATTGTCAAAATAATCAGTGGTAGTATTGTTATTTTTATCTCAAAAATCATTTGGAAAATCATGTAATCTTTCCTAATAATCCATTCTGGAGTAGATAAGGCTGCTACCAACCGGCATAGTGTCCTTTTAATCCTTTATCCCAATACACTTTTGATAAAGACTTGAGAGTTGGGTAATGATTTATAATTTGAGTTTTTTCCATTTGATAAGCTGTAATTACATCATCAAATGGTTAAACAAAGTATATGTTTAGAAATTCTAAATAAATTCAAGCAATAAATACATATCAAGATGTTTTTATGAGTAATCATTTCCTTTTTATTTCATAATTGACACATTAGATTCAATTTTTGTTAGTGTTCCTAACTTTCACCCCATCTCCAAATTTATTATTATTAATCTACCCTATTATTTATGAGTTACTAATTTTAAATTATATTCTTTAATTTTTTGATTTTAATAAGTACAAACTTTGATTCTAGAAAAGTTAGAATGTTTCCACACTAATAAATAATTCACTTCAATTTAAACTTTAAAATTAAATAATATATTTTGTTTAAAAAATTACAATCCTTTGTTAGCTAAATATGATATTTCTCTCTTCAAAGATTTTATGCAGATGTTTAATTCAAAAATGGGGGGGATGCATAAAACAAGAAATGATGAACTATTTAATTTAAAAAAGAATTTCAATTAGTACAACCATACTAGCTCCATCATTATAAGAATGAGAATTCCCATAAAGATTTATGTTGAAATGAAAAAATAAAATCTATTATTAGTTCAGTGTAATTGATTTCATAGGCTGAATCAAACTTCATTTAACATATTGACTAGTATTAAAAAAATAGTTGAAAAAGATTTTTAATTGAATAATCCTCCAATATTTCATATACTCCTATCAACAAATCAATTAAAAATACTCATGTTTTAAGTCATAAATATAAAATGAGTAAAATTTATAAGCTGCTTATTTTGTAAATTTTACAAAAATGATTGTTAAATACAGAAAATTATTTAAAATAAATATTTCCCTAAAAAAATAAAAGATGATATACATAATAATTCAAAGATAATTGTCATTCTTTTCATACATTTGCCAAAAATAAAAAAATGAAAATAGTTATCAAATCACAAAGCCAAGATATTATTAAGGATAAAATCATCATACAAGAACATGATAAATTAATATTTTAATAGCTATTGAATGATATGAAATAAATAAAAAGAAATTATTTGTATTACTTATTCAAAAATAAATCAATGTCTCAAAAACACGATATTGAGTCAAAAGCAGTAATAGGTTTATTTAAAAAACAATTTGAAGAGATATAGCTTTATATAACTCATGTAGACTTGCTATTCAAGACAAAAAATTTTCAATAAGATTAAGTAATTCTTAAATAATAAATCTGATTTCAATGATAAAGAATGTATTGCTAGACATGAAATTTAGCATACAAATAAAAATGCAAGATGATAATATGGCTACTTTTGAAACTATGAAATTTTTTGAAAATACTAAAACTATTCATTAAATAGCATTGGAATATTTTAAGAATGAATCTATTTAATTGTTAGGTAATAGAATATTGTATAAAAAATCATAGGCAATTTAATGAAAACATGGGAATAATCATTTGAGAATTAAAATGGAATGTGCAAAGATAATTTAGAATTTTGTTAGACCATTGAAAAATTATCAGATTAGACTAATAAAATTGAAGATTCTCTTAATTCAACCCCACAATTTAAAAAATACTCTCTAAAAAAGACAGAAGTCTAATTCTTAAAGCATTCGAATTGATTTAATAGAGTTATATATTTATTTTATCTATATATAAACGTAAATTGCAATAATTTATTCAACAATCAAGAATTTTTCTAATAATATTTTTTTGTAAATGGCTTAATATTTATTTATTTTGAAAATCAATTATAACCTAGTGAGGTTTTTATGATAATAGAGAAATCGTTTATATAAATGTGAGTATATTTTTCTGTTTTTNAATGAGAATTCCCATAAAGATTTATGTTGAAATGAAAAAATAAAATCTATTATTAGTTCAGTGTAATTGATTTCATAGGCTGAATCAAACTTCATTTAACATATTGACTAGTATTAAAAAAATAGTTGAAAAAGATTTTTAATTGAATAATCCTCCAATATTTCATATACTCCTATCAACAAATCAATTAAAAATACTCATGTTTTAAGTCATAAATATAAAATGAGTAAAATTTATAAGCTGCTTATTTTGTAAATTTTACAAAAATGATTGTTAAATACAGAAAATTATTTAAAATAAATATTTCCCTAAAAAAATAAAAGATGATATACATAATAATTCAAAGATAATTGTCATTCTTTTCATACATTTGCCAAAAATAAAAAAATGAAAATAGTTATCAAATCACAAAGCCAAGATATTATTAAGGATAAAATCATCATACAAGAACATGATAAATTAATATTTTAATAGCTATTGAATGATATGAAATAAATAAAAAGAAATTATTTGTATTACTTATTCAAAAATAAATCAATGTCTCAAAAACACGATATTGAGTCAAAAGCAGTAATAGGTTTATTTAAAAAACAATTTGAAGAGATATAGCTTTATATAACTCATGTAGACTTGCTATTCAAGACAAAAAATTTTCAATAAGATTAAGTAATTCTTAAATAATAAATCTGATTTCAATGATAAAGAATGTATTGCTAGACATGAAATTTAGCATACAAATAAAAATGCAAGATGATAATATGGCTACTTTTGAAACTATGAAATTTTTTGAAAATACTAAAACTATTCATTAAATAGCATTGGAATATTTTAAGAATGAATCTATTTAATTGTTAGGTAATAGAATATTGTATAAAAAATCATAGGCAATTTAATGAAAACATGGGAATAATCATTTGAGAATTAAAATGGAATGTGCAAAGATAATTTAGAATTTTGTTAGACCATTGAAAAATTATCAGATTAGACTAATAAAATTGAAGATTCTCTTAATTCAACCCCACAATTTAAAAAATACTCTCTAAAAAAGACAGAAGTCTAATTCTTAAAGCATTCGAATTGATTTAATAGAGTTATATATTTATTTTATCTATATATAAACGTAAATTGCAATAATTTATTCAACAATCAAGAATTTTTCTAATAATATTTTTTTGTAAATGGCTTAATATTTATTTATTTTGAAAATCAATTATAACCTAGTGAGGTTTTTATGATAATAGAGAAATCGTTTATATAAATGTGAGTATATTTTTCTGTTTTTCGTTTCTTTCAAAAAATTGGTGTTCTAAAAATAATTAATTGGAATCCTGTGGAAATGGTTAATAATAATATGCATGACAATAGTTTACTTTTAATTAGTTTTTATAAAAGATCATTACAATTGAACTTTCTTTAACAATTATTATTGTAATTAGAGAATTATAATTGAGTTTTTTTGATTAATGAACTAAATGAACCTATTTTTTTCAAGTAATTTTAAAGAAATCAATATAAGATTATAACCTGATTTTCTATAATGATTGCTTTAATGAGAAGAATAATGCTGAGAACTCAAATAATTGTCTCTTAACATAGTACTACCAAATTATTGAAACTAATTGAAAAACCATTCAAAATATTAAATTCAGTAATTATATAATAAATTTGCATAGCAATTAATTATGTAAAAGGTATAAATTATTTTTATTAATTCAGAACGATTATGGTTTTGGTGGGGATGAAAAAGTGAAGAAAATTGATAATGAACATTATGATGAGACGATTGAATTGGAAGATGGAGAAATTGGTAGTGGTGAAGAAGATGAAGATTAATGTAACGTTTTTACCTACTATTCTATTAGATTAAGCTGGTGCTAGAGGAGCCCAATAAGCTGAACAAAGTGTAGGGTTTTAAGAAGGAAAGGTTCCTTTACCTGCTGGTGCTTACAATTCAAATGATTATTCAAATTTATAAGTAGGTGCAGAAGTCAAATAATTGTTTGAGGTATTTCTATTTTTAATTTAAGTTACAATATATGTCTGCATCAAAATAAAATTCTATATTTCATCTATACAAAGCTCCTTAAATGGTTTTGGATGCAAAATTAAAACCATTTATTCCAGATTATGTAACTGCTATAGGTGAAGTTGATGCGCACATAAAAATACCAAGACCTGATGGCTAACCTGAGACACTTGGTTTGTTACATTAGTAATCTATCTATATAATTTTAAGGATGAACCTACTCTTAATCAATCTAAAAAGGCTAAATTAGATTTATTGATGAGAGAATATGTAAAGGTAGCAAATAGGGGCAAAAATACTACTATCCATGCTATTGAAAATGCTGATAAAAATCCAAAAGAAATTACAGCCTGTATTAATGATGTGGCAGAAATACATAAAAAAAAGTCACCTCCATCTTGTTTCATATTCTAAAATTATGCCTGATATTGAAGAATTAATGTAAGTCTGGCCTGAAGAAATCAAAGACTAATTCTAAAGCAATTAATTACCAGGTGATAATATTGATGTGGGTTTATAAGAATATTGTTAATTCTCATGCAATTTGTTAGATATTCCTGCTCATTCAATTAATAATAATAGAAATATCATCGAGTCTTTGCATGTTTTATTTACATTGTTTTCGGAATTCAAAACAAATTAACATTTTAGATAAAACAATGATGAAATTTAATGAATTTTCAATATTAAAACATTATTTTCATATTAATCTTTCTATTCAGATTTAATTAATTTGAAAATATCTATATTCATTATTAACAAAGAAAAACTATAAATTTTAAATTCTAATTAATATTAAAATTGTTTGTTATTTGATAAATTCTTTTACATTTTAGAAAAAATGACAAAATTTCAATGATTAAAAAAAACAAGTTGAGATAAAAATCAAACTTTGTAAAATCAACTTTTCTAGTAATTGGAATGATTATTATGAAAAATTAAAGAATTACCATTAAATATTTCATTTATTACTAATAAGAAAAAAAATGATTATAACAATAATTTGGAATAAATTTTTAAATTTATTAATTAATCAAACTCATACATAAATGAATTCTTGCTTTATCTAAATTTGGATATATAAATTCAGAAATTTAGTTAAAAAAAGAATTGCTTTTCTCAAAATCATTAAATTAATAACAGTTAGATTTAATATTGATATATAAATATCTCTAAGTAAATTTACTTAAAACATGGAATTTTGACAAAGGATTATATTATAGAAGAAAACTAAGCAAATTTAACAAGGAATGATAATTAATAAGTTAATTAGTAGATTAATTAAAATCTGATTAAAGGGAAAAAATTTAAAAAAAGGTTTCATTTCTTCACTTATTTCTTAGTAGATCAATTACATAATTATATATTATGTATAAAGAGGGAAAATGTTAATAAGAATTAGCAGCCTCTAATTATTCATACTGGATGGTTTATAATCAAAATAAGGTCTATATTTGTAAAGGTAATTGAATTTTTCTTCAATTTAAAAGCCATTACTTAAAAATTACATAATTTTATCAATAAATACACTGAGGCTATTAGTTGTTTGACATAGCCTTTTAAATCAATCCATTCAATAATATTGCATAAAATAATCAAAGATCTTCAATTATCATTTTGCAGTAACGACATTTTCTTTAAGGTTTATTAAGTACAAAATATAAATTTGCTGATACTTTTGTGTTATAGATATCTCATTAAGTATCAGTTCAAATAATAAGTAACCATATTCTAATAAAGGATATAATTTAAATAAAAATAGGTTTTACCTTATGGAATTTGCAAAGGTACTAAGAAGATTTTGTTACTTACGAAAAAGCGATAGAGCGCATAAAAATAAAAGCATTTCTAAAATTTAAACTATTTAATAGGCCCATATTATAAAATAATGGTGTTCCATTTCTAATACTAAAATAACAGAAATATGCCTACGCAATTTAATGTTTTAACAATGCATTATTCTAAAAAATAGGGAAGATGAGGCTTATGAAAACACGAAAGATTGTAAACTTTCTCCCTAATTATTTTCAACAAAATACAAAATAAGCAATTTTCATAAAAATATTGAAGTGCAGGAATTTTTTATTAAGCAATCTTTCTTAAAATAGATACTATTATATTATACCTCATAGTATTTTATGTTCTTATATTTAAGCTGGCTCATTATACACATTTTTTAAAGTGTGTTTTTGAAAAAGGAAGCAAAATAATATTATTATGAAGCATTAAATATAGGAAAATCTAAATTCAGAGTAAGAATATATTCTATGATATGTATTTTATAGTAAATGTTTATAAATAGTATTCTAATGCTTATTGAGTTTCATTCATGAATTATGAATTGTACTTATCAAGTAAAATTTTGATCATTAATAGGCATTCACCTAAGATTAATTTAATTATCTTACATAGAGAATAAAATAATGGAGTACAAATTCATTTTGTAATAGCATTTAAAATTCAAATAATTTTAATTAATTACATTTGAATAACCAAAATAAGGAATAGCAGAAAAAATAAAAAAATGTTAAAAAAATGAGTATTCTTAGAATATATAACAAAAATTTTTATTATGAATCTTTAATAAAGTATTTTATTATTAATAATGTTAATACTATAAAACATTTATTAAATAAATAATAAAACAAAATATACACTCATTTGGGATTGAACTCAAGATTTTTAATTTGTGGTGATTCATTAAGATAGGAAAGTTATTAACATGTTTATACCGGTGTTGATTTAATATTTAAATTTTGAATTATATGCCAGGCCTTTTGAATAAAGTAACATCCCCATTACGTGGTGGTGGTTGTGGATCTTTGAAAACATTTCCCAACACAGAAATAGTGTTAAAGTCTGATATTTAAGACATAGAAAATTTCATTTCTAGATTTGATTCTTTTGTCTAAACGATTTCCACTAAATCAGCTGTTGCAGCTAATTAAACAGAAGCTTAAGAAATAATGATAGCTNTAATTATTCATACTGGATGGTTTATAATCAAAATAAGGTCTATATTTGTAAAGGTAATTGAATTTTTCTTCAATTTAAAAGCCATTACTTAAAAATTACATAATTTTATCAATAAATACACTGAGGCTATTAGTTGTTTGACATAGCCTTTTAAATCAATCCATTCAATAATATTGCATAAAATAATCAAAGATCTTCAATTATCATTTTGCAGTAACGACATTTTCTTTAAGGTTTATTAAGTACAAAATATAAATTTGCTGATACTTTTGTGTTATAGATATCTCATTAAGTATCAGTTCAAATAATAAGTAACCATATTCTAATAAAGGATATAATTTAAATAAAAATAGGTTTTACCTTATGGAATTTGCAAAGGTACTAAGAAGATTTTGTTACTTACGAAAAAGCGATAGAGCGCATAAAAATAAAAGCATTTCTAAAATTTAAACTATTTAATAGGCCCATATTATAAAATAATGGTGTTCCATTTCTAATACTAAAATAACAGAAATATGCCTACGCAATTTAATGTTTTAACAATGCATTATTCTAAAAAATAGGGAAGATGAGGCTTATGAAAACACGAAAGATTGTAAACTTTCTCCCTAATTATTTTCAACAAAATACAAAATAAGCAATTTTCATAAAAATATTGAAGTGCAGGAATTTTTTATTAAGCAATCTTTCTTAAAATAGATACTATTATATTATACCTCATAGTATTTTATGTTCTTATATTTAAGCTGGCTCATTATACACATTTTTTAAAGTGTGTTTTTGAAAAAGGAAGCAAAATAATATTATTATGAAGCATTAAATATAGGAAAATCTAAATTCAGAGTAAGAATATATTCTATGATATGTATTTTATAGTAAATGTTTATAAATAGTATTCTAATGCTTATTGAGTTTCATTCATGAATTATGAATTGTACTTATCAAGTAAAATTTTGATCATTAATAGGCATTCACCTAAGATTAATTTAATTATCTTACATAGAGAATAAAATAATGGAGTACAAATTCATTTTGTAATAGCATTTAAAATTCAAATAATTTTAATTAATTACATTTGAATAACCAAAATAAGGAATAGCAGAAAAAATAAAAAAATGTTAAAAAAATGAGTATTCTTAGAATATATAACAAAAATTTTTATTATGAATCTTTAATAAAGTATTTTATTATTAATAATGTTAATACTATAAAACATTTATTAAATAAATAATAAAACAAAATATACACTCATTTGGGATTGAACTCAAGATTTTTAATTTGTGGTGATTCATTAAGATAGGAAAGTTATTAACATGTTTATACCGGTGTTGATTTAATATTTAAATTTTGAATTATATGCCAGGCCTTTTGAATAAAGTAACATCCCCATTACGTGGTGGTGGTTGTGGATCTTTGAAAACATTTCCCAACACAGAAATAGTGTTAAAGTCTGATATTTAAGACATAGAAAATTTCATTTCTAGATTTGATTCTTTTGTCTAAACGATTTCCACTAAATCAGCTGTTGCAGCTAATTAAACAGAAGCTTAAGAAATAATGATAGCTATATAATGGTTTATTTTTTAAGAGGAAAACATTTATAAACTCATTAAGAATGCCTAAAAAGTCTTGAAATCATACAATTTAATTATAAATGGAATCCGAAAATTATTAGAAAGTTGTTTGATCTATGTCAGAACGGATTCATTTATATGTTTATTCATCTTAAAGATTACAGCATCTCTATCTAAGGTGATATTTAGTTTTCATATAAGTAATGATTAGAGATAATTGAACTGCGATGCAAAATAGAAATTTTTAGATATTTGCGATGAATTAAAATAATAAATGGAAATAGAGAAGAATGATTTCATTCAAAATTAATTGGAACTTTACCTTTTCCTAACAAAAACTTCATTTCAAATGGCCCCAAATGATGATAAAGAAAGGAATGATATTTTAGAAGGTTTTTTAAATGGCATTTTTTAATCCATAATTGATATGAAACCTAATGCTGAATTACTGATATCATTGTTTCGTGGATTCCACATGCTTTACAATCAGTATGTGAATTAAAAAAATAGATAATAATATGAAGTTTATTTTTCAATAGATATGTTGTAATGGGAAATCATATATAACTTTAAAAATGCTGGCTAAAAGAATTTGGATGAAATACTCTTACAAATAGAGGAAACACATGAAAAAATTGTGAAAAATTCAAGGAATTGGGAAAACCATTATTTGTGGATTTAAATGATTGGAACAATCTTATTATATAATCCTCTTAT